TATAATTAAATCTTTTAACTAATTACAAAGTTAAAATGTCCATCTTTATTATATATTTGTGTGTTAATACTTCATTAGTCAATTTTTCCCTTCAATTCCAAATGATGAAGATAGCCTCCTTCAAGTGAGCCCAGTGGCGTATCTATATAGAGCTCAGCGGGGACAAATGCATCCCTCAATTTTGATAATTACTTTTAATAATATGATTTTTTTAATATTCTGCACCTCCTAATCTTATATTTTTGCACCCCCTAATCGAATGGAATATCATATGGAATATGCTAAAGGTTTAAATCAATCAAAATAATAATTTTTTATTCCTACTTTTTTACTTTTCTTCTGCAACACGTTTGTAAAATTTTCTTCCTTCTCCAACAAGTTTGCTAACTTTTCGTAAAACTCCTGGCTTAGCTTACGGATAAGTGAAAATTTCCACACAAAATTGTCAATACTTCTTCTTTGCATTGAATTAAATATTCTTCTTTGCTTTGAACATCCGAAATAGAGGTTGCAGATTACGACTCTTCAATCTTCATATTTTCTATTTCAAATTAAAGCCAAGGCAAGGTAAGTTGGATTGTTCTTCCTCTCCTCTGTCACTATTCAATAAAACTTTGCTTCTATATATTTTTTTAAATGCTTGCTCAGTAGAATCTTTTCATTTAAACTTTGTTAATCCCATATTTCAAATAGGTCATGGAAAATTTTTTTAAGAGAAAATTATCTTCAAATGAGCAACAATCTTCATCAAACCCTAAAGAATCAAGTTCTCAACCCCAACAAATTGAGCTCAATTTAGAAGACTTGTCATCGGATCCAGGAAAGTGCATAAAAATTTCAACCTATCATCCTAATGATCATGATAAGATTCGAAGAGCATATTTGCAAAGAGGACCTTGCCAACCTACTAAACTTAACTTTCTCCAAAGAAAATTTGGGAGTCTTTAAGAAGATTTTCTCCGTCTTGGTTTAATAAATTTGGTAATTGGATGGAGTACAGTATTGAAAAAGATGCAATATTTTGTTTATGTTAATTGTTATCTTTTCAGGCCTGATTTTGGAAAGCAATCTGGTGGGGACACATTTGTCACAAGGGGTTTTATAAGTTGGAACAAGAAAGAAGCACTCTCATCTCATGTTGGAGGTCCTAATAGTGCTCATAACATTGCTTGGAAGAGTGTCAGGATTTGATGAATCAAAATCAACATATTGAAGTTGCAATTTCTAAGCAATCTGAACAAGTTCGTGACTTATATTGAAGGCGTTTGACTGCATCAGTTGACTGCATTCGATTTCTATTAAAACAAGGATTAGCATTTTGTGGCCATGATGAATCAATCAATTCTATTAATCAAGGTAATTTTCTTGAACTTCTCAAGTTTCTTGCATATCACAATGAATCAATAAATTATGTTATCTTGGGGAATGCACCTGAAAATCATCAATTAATTACTCCATTAATCCAAAAGGATATAGTTAATGTTGCTGCATTAGAAACAACAAATGCTATTATTAATGATATTGGAGAAGAATTATTTGTTGTTATTGTTGATGAAGCTCGTGATTTATCAAATAATGAACAAATGGCTGTTGCTTTGAGGTATGTTAATAAAAGTGGAAGTATTGTTGAGCGCTTTGTTGGCATGGTGCATGTTAAGGATACTACTGCCTTATTGTTGAAAATGGCAATCGATGAATTATTTTCCAAATATAGGCTTAGTGTGTCAAGAATTCGTGGACAAGGGTATGATGGTGCTAGTAACATGCAAGGTGAATTTTTTGGTCTTAAAAGTTTAGTCTTGAAGGAGAATCCATCTACATTTTATGTACATTATTTTGCTCATCAATGGCAACTTACACTAGTTGCCATTGCAAAAAATCACATTTAAGTTGCTTCTCTTTTTAATTTAGTGTCCAATTTATTAAATGTTGTTGGGGGATCTTGCAAACGACATGACATGCTTCATGAAAAATAAATAGCCAAAGTTAGAGAGGCATTGAGAAAAGGAGAAATTTCCAGTGGGCAAGGTTTGAATCAAGAAACTAGTGTCAAACGAGCTACTGATACTCGATGCGGTTCACATTATGGAACTTTGATAAATTTGATTTTGATGTATTCTTCAATCATTGATGTTCTTGAAATTATAAAAGAAGATGGATCAAATGCATATCAAAGGGCCAAAGCCAATGGTCTTTTATATTTGATAGAAGATTTTGATTTTGTATTCACATTACATTTGATGAAAAATGTCTTGGGTATTTCAAATGAACTATCACAAGCATTACAAAGAAAAGATCAAGACATAATCAATGCTATGAATTTGATATGAAAGATGCTTTTTTGTCCAAAGGAAGATCACGACGCAAAGCTCAAGTTCTCACAGTAGAGCACTATCAAGTTGAATTATTCTATACTATTGTAGACATGCATGCAACTTTAAGAACTTAATGATCGTATCAAAGAGGTAAATACTCAATTGCTCTTTTCTATGGCGTGTGAATTTTCTTCAAGTGATTTAGTGATGCTTGATAATTAACTTGAGACTTTTATTATTGATATGCATGGTAGTGTCGATTTTGCATCCTTGAAAGGAATTACCAATCTTTCAAAGAAGTTGGTTGAAACTGAAAGACATATTGTTTATTCACTTGTTTATCTTCTTTTGAAGTTAGCAACGATTTTACTGGTAGCCATAACAATGGTAGAAAAAGCCTTTTTTGCTATAAAAATTGTAAAAAACCGATTGCGCAATCGAATGAGAGATGCTTAGATGAATGATTGTCTAATAACTTATATTGAGAGAGATGTATTCAATAGCATTGATAATGAGCTAATCATTCAACGATTCCAAAATATGAAATCATGCAAAGGACAATTATAAGGTATGTAATTTTTTTTATTATCTATTATTAATATTAAAATTCTAATATTGATACAATTATCCTTATATGATGATGATATTGTTAGTTTTTTAATTTTTTAAAATAAAAAATTTGCACCCCCTAACCTTAGGTCCTAGATCCGCCACTGAGTGAGCCCAACCCTTCATTGAACATGGCAGCGTCTTTTCATCTCATTTACTACGTGTCCCACCATCAAACTTCCCACGAAGAATTATTAGAAGCAAGAGTTAGAAGCTACCACCCAAGTTTACTCAATGATTTGCAAGTCTTGTAATTGTTTAATATCGGTTTAAATTTTTAAGCATAACAATGTTTTTACTTTGAATAAATGTAGGTAAATTTAATTTTAATCTTTCAAATTTTTATCAAGCTCTCAGTATTCAGAACCAAATAATGGAAATTAAGAAAGCGCAAATTTTGCAGGAAAGGTACACGTTTGATTTTTCTTATCTAACGAAAGGTTCCTAAGTTCGATTTAGCCAACTCAATTATTTAGCCAAGTATTGCATGTTTGAAGCTTGAGTAGTACGCAGATCTGCATACGGACCTTGGTTTCTAAGGGCCTGTTTGTGTAAACTGAAAATAGAGTTTTGCTAATGGAAAAGAAAAAAGAAATCTACTTATTTAACTGTATTAGAAAATGTCATAGCATGATTTTAACTGTTAGATATGTCTCAAAAGGTACTTTGAATCAACTGGAATCTAAACACTCTAATACAGTTATTTCCTATATTACAGTGATCTTATGGGAATTCATGCTTTCCGGCCTGACAGATTTGGGTGTGGCAGATGTGCACAACAGGTGATATCAACCCAATCAAGCATAGCAGATCTCATCATCCAATTTAAATATACTCCATTTAATTTTTTATAATAAATAAATAATTTATTAATATTAATAAATAATAATTATATGTCATAAATTTATTTTATTACATAACCTCTGTAATAATCAAATTGATAACTAAAATATTATATAAATAAATTATTCACTTATATAAATAATTGGTAAGTTTTTTGTTTACATATTATATTGAATGAAAACATAAAAATAATTCAAAAGTCAATGCATATAAAATTTCTTATACGAAAAATGTAGAAATATTTTTTTTTAAAACACTATTTTATAGGAATAAATGATAGAAAGGGTTAGAAAGTATGTTTATATTTTTTTTATTAAATTTTACTCAATAATAAATAGTATGTTTAAAATAGTATGTTTGAAATATATTATTAATATTTCTCTAATTTAATTAAAAAAAATTATGATAACCATAAAAAGAATCATCGGAGAGAATACAAAATCTTACTTAAACCTAACTCGACAGATCTAAATTATAACATATTCAGTTTAGGTTTAACTCATAGAAATAAGTGATTGATTTTAAAAATTTCTGTAAAAAAATTTAAACACCAACTATAATTTGGGAACACAAATTGAATCAAACATGCATTCAATTCCTAATGTTTAGTCTTTTTAAAAGTTACCAACAGTGAATCAAAATCACTTGAATTATAGTTTAGTTGGTAATAACTATTATGCTAAAATGAAGAATTAAAATGGAAGGATGCGTTAAGCATATAATTTAATTAAACATATTAGAAAAAATTAATACATGAAAATCTATATTATAAAAGCTCGAATATAAAATTTATATAAATAATTAATTTTAATATTATCAAATAACTTATTACAAAACTTAAAAGAAAACATTAATAATTTTTATAAACTCCTCTTGAACTGTTGTAAACTAGCCTGAATCGATACAATTATTTGTTCTAAATTCGTATGGCAATTTAAACTAAGCTGAAAATGGTTAAGTTTCTTGAGAAGATAAGGCGTCGGCGATTTGAAAAATGAAAAATATTGGCACCGGTACTGACATATCCAAGTTCCCACTTAATTTCCAACTTTGCAACTATATGAAAACAAAATTACCTATTCAGCCGTTGAAATTCCACACCAAATTTGGACCTTTTGTACAGCAGCTACCAAACCACAATGACCATTGGATCGAGACTTTCACCTATTAGTCCAAATAGTAAGGTCCCCAACTAGTATAAAAACCTATCATTTGGGTGAGTGTCATGCACCAACTCATAAATGAGTAACATGGCTTCCTTAAGCTCCCTAGTGTTTCTCCTTGCCGCTCTTACTCTCACCCCTCAAGGACTTGCTGACTATGGTAAGCCCCCAGTAGAAAACCCACCAGTGTACAAACCCCCAGTTGAGAAACCACCAGTGTACAAGCCCCCAGTTGAGAAGCCACCAGTTTACAAGCCACCTGTTGAGAAGCCACCGGTTTACAAGCCACCTGTTGAGAAGCCACCGGTTTACAAGCCACCTGTTGAGAAGCCACCGGTTTACAAGCCACCTGTGGAGAAGCCACCAGTGTACAAGCCACCTGTTGAGAAGCCATCAGTTTACAAGCCACCTGTTGAGAAGCCACCAGTTTACAAGCCACCTGTTGAGAAACCACCAGTTTACAAGCCACCAGTTTACAAGCCACCTGTTGAGAAGCCACCAGTTTACAAGCCCCCAGTTGAGAAGCCACCTGTGTATAAGCCACCATACGGGAAGCCACCTTACCCAAAGTACCCTCCAACAGATGACACCCATTTCTAAACTATGTTAACAGAGGTATATTTATGCTAAATAAGAGGTGTAGCTACTACCATTGCGAGATGCTCAGAATGTAGTTTAGTTTTTATAATTCTGGCAAGGGTTACTCTTGGCTTCTTTCATTTCAGCCTTTTGTTTACAATCATTGTATGGCCAAGATAAGAGGATCATCATATAAATGCATGAATGTCAAACGGGAAACAGAAAATGGTGCTTTCTGCATTGTACTCCAAATTATGAATAAAAGAACTTTATGAATTAGATATATATTGTCTTGGTTGATTAAGCATAGCATATAATTAATCCTAAATTACTTTAACATAATGTGCTCAGCTTAAATATAATCATAGATTCTGGCATGCTACGTACGAAGATACGTGCATGAAATTTACTGTGCGAGACAGACAGAAAGAAGAGTCGTTAGTGAAAGTCTCTATTTGGTGTTTAATTTACTAAAGTGCATGCATCTAAATTCTAAACAAACATGGAATTTCGTCCCTTCAGATTTAAGTCAGTGGTAACTATATAGTTTGGGGAGACATGTTTGAAATAAACTTATATCGACAAAAGTTTTAAATGTCTCTGGCTGTTGATATGTCTTTATCATTTGACACGTGCTGGCTATACATACGGAATTCAAAATCCACCTTTGACTAAGCATTAAAAAGGGGGGGGGGGGGAGAAATATCAACCTTTGAGATGTACTTTTCATATAAATAAAACTAAATTACATTGCTGATTGGGAAATGATTTTTATCTATACTAGCCACCTAACACTTGTATATTTTGAGATGTACTTTTTATGTAAATATATAAAAAATAAAATTAATCATATAAATATTAATTTTTAGTCATTTAAAAAATAAAATTTTAATCTTCTAAAAATTTGTTATTTTTTATTTTTTAAAATTAAAGTTTCTCAAGTAGTTTCTTTGATTTGTTGATCAAGAGGAAGGGTAAGACAAAAAAAAAAGTGAGTGAAAATGATATTATGATATAATAAAGATTTTAGCAAAATCTAAATTTTACAAATATCATCCAACAAAAGCATAAACTTCTAAACTCATATAATCTAATGATTAGCAAGCACTCATGTGCATTAACAATTGATTTCTTTAACCTACATTTACAAATCATTAACGAGGACTTTTTGTTAGGAATAGTAAATAGGAGAGGTTGTTGGGTCATTCTTGTAAGCCATTGAAATAAAATATTATTTTCTCAAAAGAGTTATTAAAAAAAAGGTGAGATGATAATAAGAACGATAATTTTTTAGTATTTTTCATTTATTTCATGTTGTATAGATGCATAAAAAAAAGTTAAGCTACAAGTTGTGAATCTCTAGTAGTCTTTTTTAAGATATGGTGAGAGTCAGATAAATAAAAAGATAAGTAATGTGAGAGTAAACTAAATTGATTGAATGAGTAAAAGTGTTGTGATATGAGACTAATGTGGGGCACATTTTGGCCACAAAAAGCTACTAATTAATTGTTAATTGATAACAAAACAAACTAATTTAACTAATCATTAACTAATGTATTGGCTTAGTCGATAACATTATAACAAATAAGAACAATCAAATCATTTAGAATGCTAGTTTTAAATGATACCTCTTTTTTTATATTTTGGTTATATGCACTTTAATTGAATCTTTTTATGCTGGATTGGGGATTGGATGTTTTCATAATAGCTGTTCTATGGCTATGCATCACCCTAATTTAATTAATTATCCTATTTGGTCCATCTGCGTGCCTTGATTATAATGACAATAATTGCAACAGTTATCAATTTTTAGTTTTAATATTTTTACTTTATTCTTCTCATCATGTGATGCTTTTGGATAATAAGAATAATTAAAAATTTTAAATTGATTCTTTTAAGTAATTAATGTAAAAAACTACTTTATAGATTGATTTGAATAAATAAATAAAAAATACACTTTTTTTATCAATTTTCTTAGGTAACCGATATTAAAAAATGTTTTTTTAAATAGTTTTAACAACAACATTTGTTAAGAAGTAAATTTTCTAAATCTATTGCTTAATGCATTCAATATTAAAATATATTTTTTTCATTAGTTCAATTAATGTAAAATATTTGTAGGATTTTTTTGAGAGGTAAGAGGATAAAACAAATTTATTGAAAGTTGCATGAAAATGAAAATAAATTCTTTGAGAGTGATGATTTATTAAGAGAGAAATATTTTTATTTTTTTTTAGTGTTATCTAAAAATAGAATGAAAATTTTAATTTTATAATTGTATAATTTGTAACTGATAGATTAAACTATACATCACTATATTTAATTATTATGTGAATTTAAAATTTTATTTTTTGATTTTTTTTAAAAAGGTAAAAAAATGTCTAATATTTTGAAGTAAAAATATAATTTAAGATAATTCACATGTACAAAGTATTAGATATTGTAGCTAAACTAGTACCATTATGATTTTATAACATACCCATAATAAGTAATTTATGTATCACTATTATAAATTATTTTATGAATAAAAAATAATAATTTATATATTTTATTAACAAACATTAAAGAATCTATAATTAAATTTTTTCATTTCACATTTACTTTTAAAATAAAATTTTATCATCAAACTAAAAAAATTTCTTATGCATCTAACTTTTTAATAAGCGAATGATAAAGTAATCTAAACATCCCTATTAAGAATATAAAAAGCATTTTAATTTTAAATTAGGAAGAAAAATTGTTTTTTTTCAAATAAAATTAATACTATAATAAAAAAGACATTAGAGAGAGATTTCACATTATTTTAAAGAGTGATTAAAAAGTTCTAACAAACACTATTATTTAAAGTGGAGTACATAAATAGTGATTCATATAACTGTTCCCCAAGTGTCACTAAGAGAATAATTTTTAAACCATACTCTAAAGTATGAATTGTGAATTTAAAATTTAAAATATATATATATACACACAATTATATTATTTCAATTAAATCTATTATTTTCTTTCAATTTCAAATTCAAAAATACAAAATAAAATAATGTCTTATATATTCACCTCATTAAGCACTTGAGTTTCTCTGCCCTAACCTTACTTTCATTTTCAGCGTCTACATTGTTCAAACTTGTTGCAATAACCATGAATTGCCGAGCTAGTCGCCAATAAAGATCACCCATTGTGCATATTCATCTCATCGTTGCTCAGTTCAATCTCGTCATTGATCACCCTCCGTTCAGATCAAATATAAGGAAGAGATATCTCCCATTCTAGATCAGCTTGTTACTTGCCACGTTGTTGGCCAGTTCCACCTTGTCATTGACCAACTTATAGTCTCCTTATCTACAAGTTTTGCCTGCTTGCTAGCTAGTGTTGTCTATCTTCTTCAACCACTCTTTGCCTTTCATTATGTTATCTTTGCATGATAAATAATCTCTCGTGCTAAATTAGAGGATACTTTAAATATGATTTGTTGGTTGTGTTATGTGGCATTTTAGATGAATCTCATTCATATACACTTGTCGAATTTCTTCAATGGTATGAACTTAAAACAACATTTTAGTAAGCTTTAAAAATTTTGTGTTCAACATTCATTTATTTAGTAGTGGTCCAGCAAATAACCTATGTGTCTAACATTAGTTTATTTGTGCTAATCTTTGCTTAAATGTTGAATTGCTATTTATTTTTCTTTTTTTAACTATTTTTTTCCTCATGTTTGTAGTCAACTTTTAGGACATCATGATACTTGAGTATCATTGCATATAATCTTTAAATTTATTGAATCAAATTGGTTGAATTGAAACTGCATATTAAATTTTTGTATTATTATGTTACTTATGAAGTTATATAAACATATTTTTTTACAAGTATTTTTTTTAAATAAATGCAAATAATAAATATGAGTATAGATATAACTAAAGAGTATAATGTAAATTAAAGTTATTATACACACGAGTATGAGGTCAAGTATTTTTCTTAAAATGCTAAATATAGATATTATAATACTATATTCATACCTTACCTATTGACATTAGTATAACAATAATAGAACTCTTTTTCATGTAACTTCCATTATGTTAGGTGATATACAAGCCATAACATTATTAAAACTAATTTGATATTTCTTACAATAATACAAATTAAATGCATAAAAAAATCTAAGTATTTATGTTACACAACACAGAAAGATAAATAAATAATAAATCATCGTATTGATAAAAGGAATAAAAAATACTGTATGGGAGAGGACTCTAGGCGCATACCTTTCAATTCTTAAAGGTATGGAAATGCACATATCTAGAATCAATGAATTATATGTATGATGCTTACGAGAAACAATGATAATACATCTACTCCTATCAAAAACAAGATTATAGATTGAAAAAAAGATATTAGTAACTTAAGGGCAAATTTTATGCAAGAAAGTTACTTGCAATCACCGCCCAAAGAACTAGAAGAATCTTCTTAAAGGAAGGAAAAAAGAAAAAAAAAGGTCCACGTGGTACCTCAAAATCAAGAAAACCAATATTTCAATCAATGCTTTATTAGGTCAATGCCTCGTGAGAGAGAAGCCAATAAAAGTAAATAAATATTGGCAACGATTGACGTGACAAAAGTAAAAACCCCCTAATGTATCGAAGGCAAGTGCTATCCCCTGTGCTTGTGTTCGAAAAAAGAATCGTGAAAGAGAGCAAAGTTGAAAAGCTCCTCCTTTTTATTCGTGTGCCAAGGACAAAAAAACGAAAATTGGATTTTTTTTTTAAGTTAGTTAAATTTTAAAAATGATTAGAATGTGTTATATCAGATTAAAATTTATTATGTAAGTGTTTAATTTAATTATTATAATACTTTTTAGAAGATTTATTTATTTTAAATTATATAAAATGAAGTTTTGTTATATTTAAGTATATTTTTCTTAAAAAAAAATTTATTGTTCATAATATTTATTTGATAAATCATATTTTCTATTTTTTTATTATATTTTTATGTTATTATAATTCTTATTATTTTGATGACATTTTGAAATTTTTAATTTTATTTAAGTAAAAATAGAATGAGACAAAATTAATTGTTGACAAATGTAAATAAAAAAAAGCTACAACGCTAACAATGCATATAAAAAATATGATAACAAACCTAACATTGATGAATAGCTTGTCTTGTTTAATAAATAGTAGTGAAAATGGAGGAGTCCTAGGAAGTGTAGCAAAAAATAGAAAAATGCACAATTTTTAAGGAAAGGGGTGGCAATACAAGAGTTTTTACTCAAAACTTTTGTTCCTTGAGAATATAACTTTTTTTTAACCTCTCCATATAAATAAAATCTAAACATAATATGACAATCGTATTTTAAAACAAAATAATTTTTACCTAAGAATGAATTATATTTTTATGACTTAAGACATACTTTTCTTAATAAGTTTTTCCTTCTCAAGTGCATGGGTGTTTAAAGCTGAATTAAATTATTTTTAATTCATCAAATTAAACTGAAAAAAATGAAATTTTATTAGACAAAAATAAATAAATTACATTTTATATATATTGCAGTTTGATTCATTTTTTTTTCAGTTTTTATTGTTAAAATGAAACCACACGCATTTTTTTATTATATTTTTATATAAAATTATTTTTCTTAAATTTTATAATATTTTATAAATATATGGTACTCTATTTTGTTTTACTCTAAACTCATTTTTATAAATAGAACATTTTTTTTTCTTGTCAATAAATTTTTTACTTTTTAGTTTTGTAAACGTTCGTGTTTTACCTTTTGATTTCCTAATAAACTCTATCTGACTTTTAACTACTTATTACTCCAAGGCAAAAATTAAACAAAAATCATATAAATAAATAATTAAAAAATTAGAACATAAAAATTATTTAAAATAAATAAGAACAAAATGATAATCTAAATTAATTAGCAAAACATGAGTTTAATTCCTTTCCTTTTTTTATAACTTCTGACATAAACCGAAACGAAATCCATCCCCGAAGGCCTAGTGAAGTTACGAAATTCATTCTTGTTTCTGGCGACCCAGGCTTCTCTCTCATTCACTTTGCATTCTCAAACTGAGTGATTTGCTCACGTCTCCTCACGTTCTTCTCTTCTCAAACTCGGTGGAATATTGGTAACGTTCCCTTCCCTTAAAACGATTTGAAAAATTGAGAATGGCGGTTTAGGGTATCTCTCTCTGGAATTGAGAAGTTGAGAATGATATATTATAATTTATGATTTAAATAGGTTTTTAGTGTGTTTTCCATGTCCACGTTGCCGTTCACATTATCGTCGCCCAATTCCCCAACGCTGTTGGCCGCAACTGTTTATTCGCAACTTCGGCAATTATAGTTATTCAAGTTCCATTGATTTACTCACTTGGAACCTGAAATAGCTACTTAGCTTAAGTACGTATAGTCTTGTCTATGATTTTTCACCAGTTTTTGTCCCGAGTCATGTGGCTCAATATTTTGACAATCCTTCGTTCCATGAACCAACCTTATTTTCACTATATACCTTCAGGTTATATCTTTGAAATGTTCGCCATAGCTTGGCATTTTATTTAATATAACAAGCAATGGCTGCCATGGTGATTTAGATGCAGATCAACTATTTGTGGAGTTACTAAATAAGGCTGTACGACATCTCTACCCTTGAATTTTAGTGAGTTAAGATTGCCATGTATTTTAAATTTTGTTAGAGGTGAATACCTTTTTCGTTTCCTTTATAGATAAACTTGCTTTATAAGAGTCTTGTTCAAGATAGAACATCTCCTATATATTCAAATAGGCAATATGAAACACGGTAAACTACTTAAGCTATATGAAACAAAACATCAATGAAATCCTAAATATTCAAATAGACAATCACCACAAATGTACAGGATATTATAGGATTTAAGCTCAAGTTAAAACACATTAAAGATAGCAGAGTAAAGAGTAAACAAATAACTACACTTTTTTGCATTTTGAGAATGACACTGTCCTAATGTTGTTCTGAACACCTTGTCTCAATGGTTTTAAGTTAAAGGGATAAAAAGAGAATTACTTGGTCTGGGAATGAATAATTGCTTCAATGTTTGCTTCAGTTTGATGCCTAGAGCTTGATCATGAATTTATTGATTGCCTCTTCCAATGCTTTTCAACAAATTGTCTCAATTTCCTTCTCTTCCTCTGTTTTGGCTTCCTGAGATGTGTGTTTTTTCCTCTTAATTTTTCTGTCTTTGTGAACATGTTATGTTCTTTTCTGAGTGTTATTTCTCTCCTCTCTCATGAGGTGATTATGTGTTATTTTAGTTTTTGAGAACTGTATGTTTTTTGACTTGAGAACTCTTTTCCTGAGCTCCACATTCTATATTTAACTTTATGTTATGACATCAAATGTAAATGTACATCATATCCCATGGCTACCTGCCATATGCCAAAATTGTTACTTTTTACTTTTGAGAGAAATTGAACAAGATTCAGTCACTGTTATTCTTTTTTGCAATACATTTGATCCATTTCTTGCAAAGGATTACATATATAGGATTTGCTTCCATTTTGGACTCACCAGCTAAACCTTTAACTATTTGCATAACCCTGCATGCCGTACATCTTGATTCCATTTGTTGCATAATTAAATACTTTTTTTTTTTCTAGAAATACATTAAAGACTTTGTTGCTTGAAATGAAAATGGAAGCATATTATCTAAGCGTAGTTGCTTGACATGGAAATGGAAGCATATGCTATAATAGTTGATTATGCTTGTTTTTTGTTTTGAATCACAATGTGCATTTTACAAATGGTGTGGTGATTGATGATAAATGACTTAATATCTTTTGTCAAGTTCAATATTATGACATCAATTGCTTGACAATGGTTATTAAGTGTTGTTTACTAATTTTTTAAAACAATATTTTTAATAAATTATTAACGAAAGGATATAAATCGTTCTTGAAACTAATCATAGTGGATTTTAAGCATTGTGTTCTTTTAATTTTAGGCTACAAGCAATAATTATAGCTTATTAATTTTAGAGAATAGTTTTTACCAGTGTTGTCAAGATTGTGATAAAGATCGCATGATCTTGTGATCTGTCCCCATATCTTCGAACTTAATTGCATACAGGATCCCAAACATGGAGGATTGTATTAGGATCATGATCTTTCTCCCAAGGATTGTAGGATCGCAGATTTGATCCGATCTTTCACGGGTTAGTGGGTTGGTAGTTGAAGGCCTAACACATCCCCTCTAGCTATTAGCCTATACTCTAGTTTGATTCAAATAATATTTCTACATATTTGCAGGATCAATTTAATGAATTTGTGACTTGGCTATTTTCTTGTTTAGATAATGTAGTGAATAAGTGACACAAATTTTTTGGTTGCGTACTTGAATATGATCTTTAGTTTACCAAACCAAATACTTGCCAGAAAAATAACAAATGCAAGTAATGGACTAGGTAGCTGTGAGGGTTGACAAGCTAAGGATTTCATGAACTGATCTTGTAAAGGACAAGGTTTTAAAACAAGATTTTAGATTTATAAAAGACTTGCCTGAAAAACTGGAATTATGACTAGAATAGTCTCAGTAACTGGATTTATGACAGGATCTGATTCAAAAACTGGATTTGTCTAGGAATCAATTTGGCTTCCATTTCTGTTACTGTGAGCAATTCAAAGAACCCTAATTCAGCACAAACAAGTTCACATGACTGGTAACGAGTTTCGCTTCTTCTTGTCTTGCGATATCAATCTTCCTGTTACCTTCCGCGTGGAGCGCCTTGAAGGCAATTTGCCACTTCCCAAGTTCCCTACTTCAGGTTCATTCAGCACCTTTTTCTAGAATGTTCATTTGATAAATCAAATGACTGTTAGTACGTCTCACTTAGAGGTTTGAGCCCTCATGTAGTCCAAAATGTCCACTAAATAAAATTGTTTACTTCATGATTTTATATTATATAATCAAACTATCTTTTTTGCTTGCAGAAGATAATACTCCAACGGAGAATAGAACGGCAGAGTTGTATGTGGAGTGTGCATTGTACATTGATGGTGCACCATTTGGCCTTCCCACAAGAACAAGGTTATTGTATATTTTAATTGAAATATGTTGCAGTTTATATTTCATCCAGCTTTAGTATACCTGGCAAGTTTCAATTGACATACTTAAATAATTATTATTATGGGATGGGATTTCTTTCACTGATTTATCTCTTCAATTATTCTATTTTATTTACTATTTTTTCATTTACATATGCTTCAACTTTTGTAGGTATTGTGTCAAGACTTAAGAATAAAGATTTGAGTACAAATTAGATGGGATTTTTTCTTATTAATTTTTAGAATGTTTTCACTTGATAATCCAAAAATTTGGTTTTTGACTGAGTTTAATGATATGATGTGATTCATGTAGTGAACCTTATCTAGTGCGATAAGGCTTGGTAGTTGTTTTCGCTTGATATATCGCTCATTTAGTACTCAATTTGATAATATTATGCTGACTGACATTTTATTGTTCTATGGATTTTATTTTTAAAATCTCTGGTAAAGGTTGGAATCCACAGGACCATCATATTGTTGGAATGAGCTCATCACATTGACAACAAAGTACCGAGACTTAACTGCTCAGTCACAACTCACTTTTACTGTAAGTTGCAGCTTCAGCTTACTATCTTATTTGTGCTTCCTCTGTGATAGCCCAAAAGCTTGAACTTTCTATTGGTTGTTTTGTGTCCATCTATTAATTGAAGCAGGAATTGAAATTTGGTCATGTTTTGCCTTACATAATAGTGTTTGTTTTGTTATCTTCTAGCATTATACAAAATTTACTGTAAAATTTGTAAACTGTGAGTTTAGATATTTTTAGCAATATTCTTGTGTGGACAGGTTTGGGATCTTTCAGATGGTGAAGGATTGATAGGAGGAGCCACAATTCTTCTCTTCAACAGCAAAAAGCAGCTTAAAACTGGAAAGCAAAAGCTTAGACTTTGGCTAGGAAAAGAAGCAGATGGAATAGTCCCTACCAGTACACCTGGAAAGGTATGAGCATTTTTAAGTGTCCATAGATGCCATCTTTCATTTTTTGTTTGCTTTTATGAAATCTTAATCCCAACATCATACTTTTAGGTCCCAAGGCATGAACGGGGGGAGTTGGAACGATTGGAAAAACTTATAAATAAGTATGAGCGAGGTCAAATTCAACGAGTGGACTGGCTGGATCGTCTCACGTTTAGAACTATGGAGAAAATCAAGGGACGTGAAAGCTTGAAGAACGGAAGTTCTCATTTATACCTGGTTGTAGACTTCTGTAGTTTTGAGCATCGAGTTGTTTTTCAGGTATTCTTGTGTCTTGGTTGTGACATTGCCAGAAGGATTAATATCACAACAATGCTTGTGAGAATACCTAGTCAAAGAGCATATAGTTATAATTTAGGTTAAACTATACATTTAGTCCCTATAGTTGACATTCTTTTATAAATTAGTCTTTATATTTAAAAATTTTAGTCTCTATACAAGTGTTTTGTGGCAAATGATTATCAAGATTCTCCACTTTAAGATTTTGGTTCTGTGGTGGGTTGATCATACTACTCACACCCAACACTTTCACTGTTGCTGTTGATTCAATCCTGGGCTCTGCTCTCAGACCAAACATAGGACCTCCCTCAATTTTTGCTGCACTATACAACCCAAAGAAGCACCCATACTCTGTCATTGCTGCCCCTAAGATTATTGAACTCAAGAACTTCATCCTTGTTTATGTTTTCTACTACTTCGTCCAGAATATTGTTGGGTTGCTATTGTTGGATTTCTCTCAATTCTTGTAACTTTCTTCATTCTTGTATTTGTTTTTTTCCCTTGAGTTGTTGGTTCTGTTCTCTCTAAGACTTTATCTTCTCTTCTGTTTTCTTGCACCAAAGAACCTTGATCTTCAAACCAAATTGGCAGATCTAGGTCATATCCAGGCTGGAATTCTGAGCAATAGCCTTCATGAAGTCCCACCATGATGCACTTGGATTGTCTTCTTTCCACACAAACCACCAAACAACAGCATGTCCCCTCATAACCTTCCCAACCTTTTGTATCTTTGCTTCATCAACTATGGCCGCAGATTCAAAGTGCTGCTCTGCATTAATCAAACACAAATAGGTTTTTATTCCTTCAAATTCTGGTATCTCCTCCACATATTCTTTCTTGAACACTTAGAAGAACTTGCTTCTCTGTTTTTGCTGACCTGAACACCTCTTAGATCAGCTTCAAGATCCACCCACAGCCTCAAGATCTGATCTCTGCTACCAGTTGATAGAAATCAGGTATTTTATTAAGAAGAATTAGGAATGAACCCCAATTACAAGGACAGAACACCGCAGTTCTTTGAGGGACTGCTCCTCCCAAGCCAATCTAACTCTCTTACAATTGACAAGATCTCCCTCTCCAATCCCTTCTACTTATTTATAGACATCATGCCTAATTAACTGACAAGCTAGCTAACTAACTAACTACTAATGGGTAACTAAAATATTGGGACTACTAATGTGGGTTACCTAACAGATCGCTATTTAGAAATGTTATGTACAAATTAGATAATTTATACTTTATTTATAAATGCTCAAAAATTTTAAAATCAAACTCAAAATCCATAACATATTCATAATTAAAAAAAGAATTCATAGCTTTTAAGCAAAACATACAACTAAAGAGCAATAAAAGTAAAAATTATCCCAAAACAGTGCTGTTTTTAGGGCAAAAATGATTTTTTTGAAAAGTTTTACACTAGTGCTGCTATAGTGGTGCTACGGCGGCTATTGTAGCCACTATGTTGACCTCTAGTTAAAAACACACTGCTATTCAAATTTTTAGGGGACTGTGGCTGCTCCACTATAGCACTGCTATAACCCACTATTGATAATTATGGCCTTCACAATGGTGGAGTAATTGGATGTTCCAAAATTCTGATCAACTTTAATCTTTTCTATTTTCTACGTTTTCTTACAAAAGTCTGCTTCAGTTAGGTTCTTCCAAAATCATTGTTGAAACAAATTGCTATTCTTTTGTTACATGACCAAATAAATATTGTTTTTGATCTGTTAGTATATGATGCAGTAAATTACTGCATACATTTAAGTTTGCACTTGGCTTATTGTCATTCTCACAGGTCACAACAATATGTGATACACTCCTGCATCAAATGCTTAAGTATTTAAGATCTCCACCTTTAATTTAGCATTTTAAATTAAATTCAGATGTACATGGGATCCCCAGAATGTATTGGGTTTCTAATAATGTTAGCATTCGATACATAGACCATCTAAATTATTGAGGTATGTTACCTTGCATACTGGTGTGAAATTACCAGTTAACCAAGCAACCCCTGAAGAAGTTGTTCTTTTTTCTTTAATAATATAATAAATGCAGATATGAATTTTACATGTAAATTGACTCTTATTTGTTAGAAAATGTAGGAATCGGGTGCAAATTTTTTGCTGCCATCCCCTATGGCTTCAACAAATGACATTGTTATTGTATGGGACCCAGAAGTGGGAAAGATAAATCCTTCTGAGCACAAACAGTTAAAGCTGGCCAGGAGTTTGACTCGTGGTGTCATAGACCGAGATCTGAAGCCTAGCTCAAATGAAAGAAAGTAAGCTTAAACTTTTGAGTCCAAATATAACTTCCCTGTTATATCTATGATCAGATTAATGTTGGGGATAATTTAACTCTTCAGTACTTGAAATGGTTAATTTGTTTGGTGACATATATCATCAACTGAGAAGCAAACACAACTAACATGTTAATGAAGTTGCATTTTCACCTCTTAAGAGTGGATACTTTAAGAGAAACATACTAATATCAGACATGATGTGACACTTCAAAAATACATGTACACATGCCAAATTCTGTTGTCTAACAATGTTATTGTCGAACTTAGATTACCATGTTCTTATGCCAGGTGGCTAAACTCTCTGAACTTAATGATTTCAGATTTAACTAGGATTTTTTTTTTTAAATTCTTAACATTATAACTTCAGTAAAATATGGTCTAACTTATCTCAAGAATTTTACATTTGCCAAGGATAATCTATTAATGCAAAATAATTGAATAAAGTATCTTCTTTGAGGACCTCATGGTCAGTACTTTTGAAGAAATTTAGACCCTATATTGTGGGATAAATGAAAATTTTGATAAATTGTCAAAAATGCAAGTCAAATTTGATTGCAAAAACTGGAAATGTTTTATCAAATATAACTTGTATTGTAGAGCTCAACTGACACAACCCACTTTTTTCTTATTTGATTTTCTCTTTGGCTCTGTTGTGAACATTTATTTACACCCTTTGAGGTATTTTACTTAATCCTTTTTTACACAGATGACTGTTTGACAATTTTATTTGGTCCTTTATTTCAAGGTCCATTCAGAGAATTCTAAAATATCCACCAACAAGAACTTTGAGTGGAGATGAGAGGCAGCTCTTGTGGAAATTTCGCTTCTCTTTGATGTCTGAAAAGAGGGCTCTTACAAAATTCTTGCGTTGTGTTGAATGGAGTGATGTTCAGGTTAGCCTATTATTATCTTGGAAATTAGTAATATATATTATGATATGTGGTTTTGGATTATGTTATTGGAATGGTACTTAAATATGATGAGGTCTATTGATTACAATTTTCCAAACCCTGAAATTGTAGCCTTCTCCATCCTGCATCAATTCATCACTAGGGGAAAAAATTGAAAATTCTGTAGTTTTGTAAATTCAATTGTGTATTGGATGAATTTTGTTTAATGAATTCGAAGTCATAGTGCACATGGTAGTCAAAATCAAAATTCTACATAGAATCGGAGAGGGAGTCAAAGATTGCAACTTGTAGAATTGTAACACGAATTATAAGATCTTACAAAATTGTATGTATGCATGTAAAATAATATAAATAGGAAGAAAACAAAGACATTAAAGAAACTTAAACATAATTCAAACCAAATACAAAATACTTTAAAAGTACAAGCTTTAAAGAAACTTAAACAGAATTCAAACCAAATACAAAATACTTTAAAAGTACAACTTTCAAACTTTAGATATCTATTTTATAATATCTAAAATATTTTGATAATAAAAAATATCATAATAAATTTCATCTTCATTTGGTCCATCATCTCTCCTTCACCATCTAAATTGTCCATATTAATATTAGGAACATCACCAACATCTTGATTTAAACTTTGGTCTAAATTCAAGTCCTCATCTTCATTTAAAGCATCAACATCCTCCTGAATGGCCTCATCCTCCAAATTGTCTTTTAGGTCCAAATCTTCATAATTTCTTCCATCATTATTTTTCACTTTCCACTCATTGTTAGTTGGAATATTATCTGCGTAGATGTCAAGATCCTTTCCTCTTCAAGTTGTCCTTGTTTTGGCCAATTTTGAATTTGCCATAACAAATACAACCTCATTCATTGTATTTTGCTTGAAACCGTTTCTTCTTTTAGTATGCACCTAAAAAAATAATAATATATTAAATTATAATTTAAGATAAAAAAATATTAAAATAGTTGGATAGTACATAATTTTAGAAAAAAGATTTTTACTTACCATCTCAAAGGTACTCCAATTACCTTAACACCCAGAGGAACTACATGTCAAGATTAGTATCTAAATAGCAAATCTTTGAAACTCAAGATGTTCATCCCACCAATCAGTTGGCAAATGCATGTCCATAGTGTTTGTTGGGTCTAAGAGAATTGGATCCCCGTTAAAGACATATCATAGAAGGAGTGATAAGCATAAGGGTAAAATGGGAAATGTGAGCAAGGAGGCTGATATGAAGGATTCTAACAAACTGAATACGTGGCATCAATGGAATGGCAAGGAAGATGCAAGAATCGGTTGAGAAGAGGAATAAGATGAAGGATGGAGAGGGCAGGAAACATCTGGGAGGTTATTTGGGAGTGGCTGCTGCCATAGGGAAAAGGCTTATCTCATTATTCGTAGATCCTTTTTCTGTTATTATTACCTATCTATTTTGTATGAATGTACAGGGTTAATCCCTGAGTAGCTCTATTATTCCAATAATTCATTCAATTCCTATCAGTGTTCTAACCAAGTGATTACCAAAATTACCAGTTTACTTTCTAAATGAATCAAGTTGATAACCAATTTTACATTGTTCATCTTCATTAGACATCATCCTTGTCAAACAATCATATAATTCATGCTTAACTTCAAAATCAGCTTTAAATTTAGGACTAAAGTGCATCTTAGGATTAAGAAAATAGCCTCCAAAATGCAAAGGCCTATGGAGCTGTTTGTTTCATCATTCATCTATGATATTCCATATAGGTACATAATTGATAAAGAGCAAATAGCGAATAAGGAAATAAATTGAATTTATTATGAAGATTCATTATACAACATAGATTACAAAATATCCACTAATTTAATGTTGATTTGATAGTAGTTACCTTTTCTTAACATTATTGAAAGTGGGTTTGAATATTCTCTGTAGCTTGATCCATTACCTTTAATTTGTCCCATAGTTTTCTCATTTGAATCAACTGTTTGAAGAACTTTGGTAAGAGGAAATGCAGTTTTCAAATAATATCCTTCCAAAATCTTAGCAAACTTGGAGGACTTTCATTCATTAGATGTAAATATTCTATCAAAGCAACGCTATTTCTTGAAGACACCCTGGAGTCAAATAAGATGTGGCAAAATGAATAATTCCTGGCCTCACCAAATCTTTGCCTTTGGTAAAATATTGCAATAAAAAATAAGACCCTCTTTGATGAAAAAATTTAGGTTGTAATTTTTTTACCTTTTGCAATTGTCTCTTCATGAATGAGTATTTTTTCAAAGTTTTTCAATATCAAATCAATGCAATGTACCACACAAGGAATCCAATACAAGTGTCTCTTTTTTCACATCAACATCTCTCCCGTAACTTTGTAATTTACTGCATTATTAGTCATAATTTGAACTATATTTTTTGCACCAATCTCTTCAACATCATCAAGCATTTTAAACATTTTATAAAAAAAATTGTTCCTTTAGGATTATTTACGAACAAGTTTGATATTGTTATCTTCCTCTCAGCAGTCCACTCATTATTCGTAAACAAGTATATCCATCGAAAAGTAATAAAAAATTCTACAATAAGTTGCCGAAATATTGTCCTAGAAGTATTGTTTTCAAAATTTAATTGTTTGAACTTAAAGGATGTGAAATTAAATATAACAAGGATTTGAATATAAAATTAATTAACAAGAAATTATAATAGCGTAGCCTCTAATAATAAACTAATCAAGAAGAACTTAAGGCATATGGTTTCATCTTTATATTTTTATGTTTTGTTTAAGATTAATTCTAATTCTGGTTTTCAATCATTCATATTAAATCTATTAACACTCAATAATTATGCAATATTAACAGTCTTTTCTCTAAACTATCACTCAAAATGATCATGCAAGGTAAAAGAAAGAAAAAACATAAAAGAATTTATGAGTTGTTAATTTAATAATGATTGAAAGAGAAGAACTAAGTTAGGTCTATCTAATACTTTGTCTCGTTTTATCCTTTAGATCCATTAATTATATGTGATATAATCACCTACAATATACAATATAATTAGTTATGGTATGTTCAAGAGTTGTCTATTCCAACATACAAATATAGTGCAATAGGATAACACTAATCAATAACGGAAACACAACATTATCATAAATCATAAAAATCTCGTAAAGAATTCACTGTAATCCTAACTATGGATTTAGTTAAACATAATATAAAAGAAAATCAAAATAATAATAAACCAATCTATAGTAATTAAAAAGTGAATGCAAATTAGAGGAGTCTCTAAACTGCACAATTAATATATAAATTAGTATAAAATTTAATTAAAATAATAGTCACACAAAAATACATAGGCTATTAAAACATATCAAAATATAGACTTATCACCTATCAATCATTAATGTGCATCTAACAATATTCCATTCAGTTTTATGTTCTTCCAACTTTTCCCTTCTCAACTCTATTTACTTCTTCAAATGTATATATAGGGTTAGGCTAAATGTGTCCATAAGCTTACAGACATGAGTTTAGGACATTGTCTGGTAGACTGTGGGGGTTCGACGTGCCATTGTCTCTATTCAAATATATAAACTAGTTTTTTTTTTTTTTTTTTGTTTCTCTTTACTGAACATGTAATTCAACGCTAGTTATTTAACATTAGATGTAATACAATACATCAAGCATGACTCTAAGAAACCATTGTTTAAATCTAAATGACCTTTTTGAAATTTGTTTTGGTATAACACAAGTGTCATTTGATCTATTTAGCTAAATCCCATTAGTGGGATCGGGGAAAAACTTATCTTTTTTATTCATGATTTAACATATTGTTATCTCTATTTATTTTGTTTTTATTTTTTAAAAATTTTTATTCCTAGAAAAAAAGAAAATCTGATATTCTCTAATGCTGATTTCATCTCAGGAAGCAAAACAAGCAATAGAATTGATGGGCAAGTGGGAAATGATTGACGTTTGTGATGCACTGGAACTGTTGTCTCCTGTGTTTGAAAGTGAAGAGGTAATTTTGTAGAATGCTATTTGGGGAAATTGTACCCAATGTGGGTGTAGGTCTTTGCATATATATTAAATAGGTCTGCAGTAAAAAATAGTACCAGAGAATTCTGTGCACATTAATCATGTACATAACGTCCTCAGCACACTAATCACCTAGCTATCAAAGGACATATTAGTAAGTTTATTTCTAGTTTCCTATGTAATATCATTGAAAAAGGAATACAGACTGGGGAGAGAATAACATCTCTCCAAGCAAACAGAACTAAGTTCAACTAGGAACAAACTAATGAACATGAGATCAGTCTAATCTCATCTGTATCTCAGATTCTGTAACTCCCTTGTAACATAATGCTATATCAAACAGCAAGGGTAGGGGCTAAATGCCATTGCACACCCAGCCTTACTGTTGGTATAGATGAATGACTTAATATTGAAAATTGTGTCTTTTTATTCAATAGGATAAATTTATGCACCTTTAGAGAACTATATGATGCCTTACGTAGCTGCTTCATTTCAGGTCCGTGCTTATGCGGTTAGTGTTCTTGAAAGAGCTGATGATGAGGAGCTTCAGTGTTACTTACTTCAATTGGTTCAGGCTCTTCGATTTGAGCGTTCTGACAAATCTCGCCTTTCTCATTTCCTTGTCCAGCGTGGTATGTGTATGAGAGTTTGAGAGCTATTTCAGGTGTTGTTTCTGGTTATATTTGGCTCTTTCCTTAAAGAAACCTAAATTTTAACAGCATTACGCAATATTGAATTGGCAAGCTTTCTTCGCTGGTATGTGGCTGTTGAACTTTATGATCCTACATATGCCAAACGATTTTACTGCACTTACGAGATTCTGGAGGAGAATATGATGAAGGTTTGAACTCAAATTTCTTAATATCTGAGTATTTGCTTCTTTTTACTTTTGTACTGATACTTATTAGCATATAATTTTGCCTATTATCTACATTTGAAAAATATTGTTTGTCAGGATATTGTATATTTCTTTATTGTTGCATGTTTGGCCTAATAACTAATCCATTTCTCTACTTCATTTGTACTACTACATTAGAAAATCTTTTCATGTTTCACCATTTGTGATTTGTGTTTCTATGTGAATAAGTGGATTTCTTCATTAATTTAATTTCCGTAATATAAACCTTGAAGACAATTACCAGACCTATATTTAGTAGATGACATAATAACTTTGTTCTTGATTCAGAAAAATTGGGTGTGTAACTTGGCTGCAATGACACTTTGGTTTCATTTGTGACTTAAAAGATTTTGGTTTTATATCATGCAACAAATATTTGATAAAGGAATCTAATTAACACTAGTCTTGCAACATATTAATCTTCATTAAAAAAATTAAAGGCCATGAACATGCTAGTTGAAATGATTCATTTTGGAACTTGACAACTATGCCCTTGTCTCAGATGGCAGCTGGTGTGAATGGAGAGGAAGATGGGTTTAAACAGTGGCAGAGTTTGGTACGCCAGACAGAGTTGACTGCTCAGTTGTGTTCAATCACCAGAGATGTAAGGAACGTTCGTGGTAATACACAGAAGAAGATTGAAAAGCTTAGGCAACTACTTTCTGGTCTTCTAAGTGAGCTTACCTATTTTGATGAGGTATCAGTTTAACATTTAGCTGTGTAGTTATCTATTGTTTTCATCTTTTTGTTTACCTTTTTACTTTAATTAATTATGCATCATGAAGAAACTATTTATTTCTTCAATTTATTTTATTTCCAATAATTATATCTAATGCATTCTTAACAAATTCCTCAACTGTATGTTTATTGTTGCTTGTTTCACTTGTAGCCAATACGATCACCTCTGGCACCAGGTGTTCTCATTACTGGGATTGTACCCTCGGAGTCATCCATATTTAAAAGTGCATTGCATCCTTTGCGCCTAACTTTTAGAACAGCAAATGGTGGAACTTGTAAAATCATATTTAAAAAGGGTGATGATATTCGGCAAGATCAGTTGGTATTCCTCTTAAACCTTCCTCTGTATCCCTGTTATGCATGCAAATGAATACCTGAGTACATGTGTGAATTGATACACCAAAAAACACATGCCTGCCCACATGTTCACACACACACACAAACTCCATCTCAAGCATTTGGGGATGGATTACATAAATTTTGGTTTTCTGTAGGTTGTTCAAATGGTATCACTAATGGATCGATTGCTCAAGTTAGAAAATCTTGATCTGCACCTAACACCATACAAGGTGCTAGCAACTGGACAAGATGAAGGAATGTTGGAATTTATTCCATCCCGTTCATTGGCGCAGGTGTGGTGCCATATGATTTTTCAAAGCTGTTTCTTGTATATTAGCATGTAGTCACTTCTTTTCATGACTGCCGGTTTCATCTATATTGATGTGGAGTAAGAGTTAATTCTGATCCATTAAGTGTGAATGTTTTATATATATAATTATATCATATTTACCATTGTTAACTAACAACAGATTGTTAAGCTGATGCTTAGGCCTAGGTTTTATGAATCTTGTTTTGTCTGTACTTTCATATCTGCTTACACATTGTGAATATTTTGATATTATCAGTAAAAAGAGTTGAAAATGAATCAAAATATTTAATCATTGTGACATAGTAGAACATACTCAAAATATTTGGAATGTTGTAGCTGTGTTGAAACATTTTTTTCCTAGAAAGTTTATATATTTAGTTGCTAATATTTTTGTGAAAGATTATATTTTATTTCTTTAGAGTAGGAATTCAAATGGCTGTCAGGTAAATAATTACTAATTGCTTTATGCAGTTTGTTTTTTATAATATTGAGTGTTGAAATTGATTATATTAGTTGTATCCGTTGCTTCCCCTTCCCCGAGCTATTAAACCCTGATTTTACATTAATGAATAACCATGTTGGTTGTAGGACACGCAATCTTGCAATTGCTCAACTAATATATAATCTTTTCATGTCTAGATTCTATCAGAGCACCGTAGCATTGTAAGCTATTTGCAAAAGTTTCATTCTGATGATCATGGACCTTTTGGAATTACAGCCACCTGCCTTGAAACGTTTATAAAAAGCTGTGCTGGCTACTCTGTTATCACATATATACTTGGTATTGGAGACAGGTGATTGTTGATTTCATTCATTACATTTATTTTTTATCTACACTAGTTGTGGTATTATTTTGTATCAATACTTCTAATTTTGTTCTTGTGATGTGTTGCTAAGATCACCTACACGATGTCACCCACCCCCAATACATAGGAGGAATCTATTGCTAGGGTTGAGACATTGAGTAGGTATGGACCAAGGACAGTTGTTCCTTTAGGTGTTGAAATTGATCATGTCTTGTGTGCTATTAGTCGATAAGAAATTTGTTCAATCAGGATTTGAAAAGGTTAGAACTTAGATGTGTTATGATAAAATTATCTGCATATTTTGGTTCTATGATTTTAACATCTTTAAAATGGTCTGTGTCTTTTGCCCTTGCTCTCAATAGGGTTGTCTTCATGGCTTTTTGACTATCTGCTCACAGTTATCTTCTGCATTCTTTTAAATCAAGATTTATACTGAGGAGATTTATTTATTATAATGTACTGATTTACTTTTTTCACTGTTTTGTTGTTTTTCAGCTTTTGAAGATGATCTTGTTTTTATGTATTCTCTTTCTCTTGGCAATAAAATTTCTCAATTGATAAGAAACATTTAAGTATTTCACTTGTTTGGAAATGTATTGATCTTTTCTCAAAAATTTAAGCAAAAGATCATAGTTGTAGATGGGTATAGGCGTCATGTTACATGAAGGCTAGAAAGGGAATCGAGGTTAAAATAAATGAACTAGGCTTGGCTTTCGACCACTTTCTAAACAATAAGTTAATCTTATTGTTTAGTTATCAAGAGTTACTGCCATGTGTGTATCTTAACTATCTTGAATTGTTGAATTTATACTGCGTATAACTCACATAATGTCCAAGAATTGTTTCCCCATTTTTTGGTGAAGAAAACTCTGATTCTCTGTAGTTTGTGAAATAGAAAATTACATTGTTCAACGAATCTTTATTTTCTCCCTGCTTGAAGTGAGTTTTTATTTTTATTTTGACAGACACTTAGACAATCTCCTCCTTAGAGATGATGGACGTCTTTTCCATGTTGACTTTGGTTTTATTCTTGGACGAGATCCTAAGCCATTTCCACCACCAATGAAACTTTGCAAGGAAATGGTTGAGGCTATGGGTGGAGCTGAAAGGTAAAATTCCCAATGGATGATTCACTTCAGATTTGACATGATGGTTGTGTGATTTGTCTTAAATTGTGATATAATGATTGATCTCTTTGTCTCCCCGTGCAGCCAATATTATACAAGGTTCAAGTCCTATTGTTGTGAAGCATACAACATTCTTCGGAAATCAAGTAACCTAATTTTAAATCTATTTTATTTAATGGCGGGTTCCAATATTCCTGACATAGCTTCTGATCCTGAAAAGGGGATTCTTAAGGTGAGCTCCCTTGTCCTTCAATAAATAAGTCAAAATTGTTCATTTTTTCTTACACCAAGAACTTTGTGGCTATACAGCTTCAGGAAAAGTTTCGGTTGGACTTGGATGATGAAGCCAGTATACATTTCTTCCAGGATCTTATCAATGAGAGTGTGAGTGCATTATTCCCTCAGATGGTTGAGACCATCCATCGTTGGGCTCAATATTGGCGATAACCCCAATGTTTTTTTGGGTGTTATTACACAAATTAATTAACCAGGTAATTTCTAGTTTTATTCTTTGGAAAACAGGGAGAACCTAATTTCTATTGGCTGAGATAGGTTTTAGTAGACAACTATAAGTTTTGATGTAACCCATTGATTCGGTAAACAACTGCTCTGTGAGAATGCTTTCTAATTAAATAATAATAATCACTCCAGAGCACTGCCCCTTGGCTATTAAAAGTGTGATACTGACATGATTATTGGTAGCTGATCGGAACATCATAATACCTGCATTTTCCATTCCACTTTGGTGATTCTGCATCATTTTTCTATTCTTCATAGTTGTTTCTGTTGTTCAGGATGATCTTATCTACTAAGGACATCTGCTATACATAGTGAAATGGAAGTTCTTTCAGGTTTCTTTCTCATTCTATATCTTGTTTCCAACATCTGATGTTGTTTGTAGGCTTGTGAAGTAGCATGCGGTTGTCTTCTCTTGGAACTCCATAATCAGAGTGAGACCCGACTGCTTCTGTGCAGTCGGCTGTATGCAGTTGTAATTTCAAAACTAGTGCTATAATGAAGGCAGCGAGGTTTTAAACAACTGTGTAAATAAATTAGTTCTTTTTCATTTTTCTGGTTATGGTCCTATCAAGGCGGCAGCATAACTTAAAATTTCTTTATCATGCGCTAACTAATGGTCATTTAGGCTAAACTAGGCCTTTTGTTATTTGAAAAGAAGTCCTCTTACATGCTCATAATCTGCAGTTAGATGTAAATCTGGTGTAAATAACTTTGACAATGATGCCGGCCAATTTGCTAAAGGTTACTCGCCAAAATTGCGTTTGCATTGAATTATGAAGACTTGAAGAGCCTGATAGATCATAAAGTTCAATTCTATGTATTTAAAAAATATATATGCTAAAGATTATAGGGAAAAGGCCATATTTTTCTACAGAGTTCATACTTGCAAAATAGGCTATTTCCTCGAGTCATGAACAAAATGGAAACATCTTCCAAAAGGGTGATGAAGTAACGATATCAAAATGCTTGGTTAAATGTAGAAAAATAAAAAGTTTAAAGTTACTTTTTAAGAAGATACGAAATTAGAGGAACAAATTCACATTAAAATAAATATAAAATCCAAGGCATTTTTCAGTTGATATTATTTGATCTTATTAGTAGAGCATTTTAAATTAAATTAATGCATTATACTTAAATATGTATGAAAAGTTAAGTTTTAGAATTTGAATCCTCTCCCGTTGTGGTGGTTCTATTTTTCTTAGGCAAATTTAGATTTGTTAAAGTGAACTTAAAGAAAACAGTAAAAAAATAATATAAAATTTACTTAAACGAATTTTATATAATTATCTTAGCGAATACGTTTCTTGTCCAACTTTTCCCCAACATGGTCCATCTTATAATTCACCAACCTAACAACCGCAAACGGTTTTCATATGTCAATTATTGGCCATGTCTTTGACTAAAATAAAGGAAAGAAAATGCGCATCTTTCCCCCGATCATTGATGCGATTTTCAAGTTCCAACTCCAAGGGAAAAGTATGTTCCAAGCAGCATTGACGAAATGCATATGAACATCTTCACCAAGTGGTCAAATCATATCATTGTCCCATCTCAGCCCAAAGTAGCAAAATGACCCAGTGCAGCTGCCAACGTTTTTAACATATAAATTAGATTGATCAACTGCTCATTGGCCTCTTCTCAGATGTCAAGGCGACTCTTGGTGGCAAGAATGGCAGATTGATTGTTGGAGAGTGTCCTGTATATCCCTCTAATAGTAGCTGGAGTTGTTCTGCAACAGCCACCTACAATAACACCATTTGAAGGCCATGGAGGAGTTTATGGGGGCGCAGTTGAAGAAGAGGTGTATTCGTTAGGGATAATTATGCAAAATTGGCTTTGCCTAATTTTATTTTTTGTTTTCCTAAGGTTCTCTTAAACAAAAATAGAGCTGAATATTCATTTTCTATGACAACGGAGGGAATACAGATCCATAGTTTTTTATGACCTTGGACTAGAGCGCGTATAGTTATGTATATTTTGTTTTTGCGTCGAGTAGAAAATATTAAATCAAATTGTGTGTATTTGATTTCACTTATTGTAATTTTTTAAAAGATTATATTTGTAAACGGGTCATCAATTGGGTTTTTAATAATATTGAAAAAGAAAAATTACCAAACATAAAAGTATTATCGAATTCTTGTTACCTCAAATGGTTGCACGAAATAAATAAAACAAAAGATTGCATACACTAAGGTTACTATTTTTAAAATCCTTTCTGTTATGTATTTCAACATAATCTTTTAAGGTTATCTTTTAGCCTAAATTAAAAATTGAATTTAAAGTCAAATAAAACTGACAAAGATATAGAAGAAGCATATATTAAAGGAAGAAAAAACTGTAAAAGGAATTTTGTAAAATTATTGAAGAACATTCATCTAAGAATTTTTGAATTAGATGGAGACGTCTTTTGAACGTGTAGTAGAAACTGTTAATGAAGACATCTACAACTGAAGAATCCTAAAAATATACGTCCCTAACTGAAATAATTTCAACATGAAACTTGTAAATTTTTTCATTATTATTTTTCTATCTTTTTAGTTTAAAATTTTTTGTACTTTATCATGTTTTTACAAAAAAAAAATATTTAGCGTTTGTTCAATAAATATATATCTTGACAGAAAAATATCTGATAAAAAAATTAAAAATATATATTACCAAATTGAATCTAAAGACTAAAGTGTCAGAATATATAGAATTTAGACGCATGACATTTTTAGTATGTTAGGGACTAAATGCTAGACGTTGACTCTCTCAAAGATCAAAACAGGGTGTAGCCAATTTATCATATGCCGTTGAACATTAAAATAACTGTTACAAAATTATCTGTTCATTTTTTTTAATAATTTGTGAATAAAAGTAATTATCGATATTGCCCAGCAGCGCCTTACCGTTCCAGAAATACTGTTTCAATAAATACGTTAATTACCCCACAAATATATGAGTAATGTTTCGAGTATCAATGAAATAGATAAATGCCGTATGCTTTATTCGTTTAAAAATAATTGTCGTTTTATTATTTTCAACAAAAGTAAAAAAAAAAAAAAAAAACATTCGTTTTAATTAAGGTTCTGAACAATCCCAAAAGTCAAAACAAGTTATCCCAGAAGGCCCCCTCACACGGTGACACTATCAACCTACAAACAGAACCAAAGCACAACTCCTTTCCCTCAACGTGACAGATGGCGGCGGCTATAGTTTTTTATCATAGAAACGTTAAAGAAAAATAATAAAAAATAAATTAAGAATTTTATAAATAAAAGAATGAAATATTTAACAAATAACAATATAAAGAGAATAAACAAAATAAATATATATATCACATCAATCATTATTTGTTATTGAATGAGAAAATGTGTCTTAATATTAATCACACAAAAAATTTTAGAGATCTGGATTACTTGTAGTTCTGGCAGGAGATTTAAGTTTTGCATTCACTTCAATAAAATTCTTTTGCTTAAGCTAATTTTAATAAAAAGTGATTTTAATTTAAGTTAAAAAAATTTGTGAAGTCAATTTTTTTTTTCATTTAACCTTTTTTACTTCTTTCTATTAACTTTTTCTCGCTTTTCTTCTTTCTTATACTCTTGTTTCCATCTTTAATCCCTCTCAGTCTCTTTTTTTCTTTTTTTTATATTCTTTTTTTTCTAGTTTTTTGTCTTTAGAAATAGAGTCAAGAACACAAGAAAAAGGAAGAGAAAAAAAAAACTAACAAAAAAAAGATTAGATAAGGAGCAAAATTAACTTAAGTAAATTTTTTTAACTTAAATTAAAATTATTTTTTATTAAAATTCACTTAAACAAAAAAATTTCATTTAAACAAATACAGAACTGTAGCATACAAGGCGATCTGAGTTCTAGGTTTTAGTGTGCTAGCTCTGTTGTCAATGAAGATAGGGGCAAACAAGGGCACGAACTTTCACGCAGGCCACCGCTAAAGTATTAAAATCGTGTTGGGTTTCCCACCAATCTTAAAGTAAGGTCAATAAATAATTAAATAACAATGGCAATGCCCTAAGGCCGCAGAAATCAATCATGTCACTCCACTAAAAGATGCACAGAAAAACGTTAGGACCAGCGTGGCCTTTTCTGAATCGTGTACGATCCTGACAAGGACTCAACCATTTCAAAACGCTGTAGAGGGAGTGAACAGTGAACACTTTCTGAACTGAATCAATCAGAAGAGACAAACCCGTACACGTGGGTTCCTCAGATCGTCTATTTGCTTTTGGATCCATTGATGGCGGCGATTAAGGAGTTGCCTGATTCCACACGTCCCCTGGTTGACGAGGTATGCATATAACGTAGTCTCAATCTTGTGTATATACTTTAATGTGCGTCCTTTCCTATGTTACTTATTGTGGGAAATGCGATTTCCTCATTGCCAAATAATCTGTAGCGAGTTTCGATTGAACTTCACTTTTATAAGTTTGAAGAAACCGCAAGTCGCTTCCTAGATCATAATGTTGTAATTTCCTTTTGGCAATGACAACATATTCATTTCACTTGTCATTTTGCATTTTTATAATATAATTTGTTAAGATTAGAATTGAATGGAATCCTAAATAAAATCTAAAATTTTCCTATTTAAAGCTGAAGCGGCACTGTTTGCTGATAACTTCTACCTCTATTAGCAGAAGAAATAACACAGAATTGAAATGGAAGATTCGGTTCCAATTTTTACAAAATCTAATTCTGATGTGCAGGAAAAATTGATTCCTTCATCGGATGAAATCATAGAGAATGGTTTGCGAAATTTTGGGTGGTCGGGGTTGGTGCAATGCATCCTTGTGTCGATTGCTATGTACTTCGATGCACAGCAATCATTCATAGCCATCTACAGTGATGAATACCCAACATGGCACTGCACAGATCCCACCATATGCACCTCAGATTCTGATATCTGTGAGCTCCCAAAATCTTCTTGGGCTTGGGATGGACCCTCTTCGAAGACAGTGATATCTGATTTTGGCCTCCAATGTGCCAGCAGCTTCATCACAGGTTTACCCCAATCCTCTTTCTTCATTGGTTGCCTTGTTGGTTCCTTTCTTTTAGCCACCTTGGCTGATACCTCTCTTGGAAGAAAGAACTTGGTCGTTCTGTCTTGTTTAGCAATGTCCATAACTTCAGTGATCATTGTCTCATCCACCAATGTTTGGATCTACTCGGCTTTGAAATTCCTAGTTGGGTTTTGGCGTTCATCCATTGGAACATGTGTTTTGGTGTTACTGACAGAGAAAGTGAGCACAGAGTGGAGGTTCACGGTGGGCATTGTAGAATATTTTTGCTTCACGTTGGGGTACATGTGCTTGCCTGGAATAGCTTATTTAAATAGAAATTCTTCATGGAAATATCTTTATGTTTGGACATCTATTCCTGCTATTTGTTACTCTGTCATTGCTTATCTTTTTGTTACCGAGTCTCCAAGGTGGCTCATCATGCAAGGCCGTGAGCAAGAAGCAATGGCAATGCTTAAAGGAGTTTCTTCAGTGGAAAATGGTGCTACTTTAACTTCAAGCTTACTAAAAGTACCTCCTAAACAAAAGGCTTCAATTTTCCAATTATACTCGTCAATAGCAGAATTGTTTGAGAGAAGTTGGGCTCTTAAAAGAATGGTGGCAATTATGGTGCTTGGTCTTGGTGTTGGAATGGTGTATTTTGGCATGCCTTTAGCGGTGGGGAACTTGGGATTCAACATTTACTTGGCTGTTGTGTTCAATGCCCTGATGGAAATACCCTCTTGTGTAGCCACCTACTTCTTGGAAAACTACAGAAGAAAGCCATCTATTCTTGTATTCTCAATAGCAAGTGGGATATGCTGTATAATGTGTGTTGTGGTAGGCAATGCCCTACCAGCAGCTAAGGTAGGGCTATCATTGGTAGCATTTTTTAGTGCTGTCACAGCTTATAATGTGTTTCTCCTCTACATTATAGAGCTATTTCCCACTAGTGTGAGGAACACTACAACCTCACTAGTGAGGCAAGCAATTGTATTTGGCAACATATTCATCCCATTTTTTATATCTGCGGGGAGGAAAAATGACATTTTCTCTTATGGCGTATTTGGAGTAGTCATAATGTCCTCTTGTTTGACATTGGTCTGTTTGCCAGAGACCATAGGAATAGCTCTTTGTGATACCATGGATCAACAAGAGAAAAAAGATAACTTATCTGTTTAATGTGTGTATCCGGTTTATGATCCTTTTTGTATGTTGGCTGTTTTCCATTTCTCTCGATTTTGAAGTGAAAACCTCATATTTAATTTTTGAGTCATACTTTTCTCTTACTTTTCTAGTGAATACCTTCCCAGTGACAAGTAATTGTTTTCTTGTTCTCTATAAAATAAAAATAAAATGATAATTTTGTAATTAATAGTAAAATTGAAAAATAAAAATGGAGAACGATTATTGAAACTAAGCAATTCCTTACCCTTCTCTTCTTTCCCCACTATGAGCAGTAACCGTGTAGCAATGTGTTAATTACTCAACCTTGGCATGTCTATTGTTAGAGATGTCCCTTTGACACTTATGCATGAAGAAACAATTGGGTATCTTCTTTACTTAAGCTACTGTTCTAGTAATTTCAAAGGCAGTTAGCGTGGAATTAATTTATTTTTACCCTTCTCAGGTTGAATATTGATTCTCACCATTTTGAAGGTTGAAGTAACCATAAAACTGGTAGAAGTTGCTAGCAGATGTTAGCTTTGTGCGCAATTTGTTTCTCGTGTTTTTTTGGGAGGGGGCAATCTGGTTGCTTTAACTTATAGTGCATGCTTATGGGTAATTTATTTTTGTAATAAAAAATCTTCTTCTTCTTTTTTGTGAACGAAATTCTCTCTCTGTCCAAACTCTCAACTGGTACAATACCAATGAATTGCTCGTGAATGCCCATGCCCTTAGTATTAATTGATTCATAAGTGTTCACACCCTGGCAGAACAGATTAATGTTTTTCATGCAGCGAATATTTCCATACTTGTGCTGGGCAGTGTTGACCACATCAGTTTGGTAACTTACGTTTTTCGATTGGGTATACATGCTAATTTTTCACTTGTTCCATTATTTGAATATCAAAATAATATATCATTATTTTTATTTCTTATTAAAATACAAGTGTTTTTTATGATATATCTCAAAATCAGAAAAAAAAAATCCTTTTTAATGTAGTATTTTAATATTTATAAGCAGTTTACTTTATACTGCTCCGCAATCACCCATAGGCGTGGCGCTTTGAAAAGAAATCATTTACATAATCATCAACTCAATCTCGTAATTGAGTACAAAAGTTATAAGTTGCCTAGAATTGTTCAAACATATAAATTAAGTAGCAAGTTATTGGTGTAATGTATGAGCAATAATAAAAGATAAAAAATGAAGAGATGACATTTTTTATTTTAAATTAAAAACATTATATATTATTTATAATAATCAATGCATAGTTAATATATCTATTTATATCTTTTATTTTTTAAAAATATTAATTTTAAATATATTTATTAAATAAAGAATTTGTCTTACTCTTCTTTCGATTTAAAATTTCACTTTCCAAACAGTCATTAGAATATTTCTTTTATTTAAAATTTTAAGATTAAAAAAATAAATCATTTAATAATCTTTTTGAAAAGTCAAATAAATGCATTAGAACTTCTTAATAAATTAATTTATAAATAAATTTTAAAATTAAAAATATATAAAACTATTAAACAACGTTAGCTTTAACTTTAAATTTCTTGTTTTTTAATTTTAAATTAATTTTTAAATTATAAAAAAGCCAAACACTCATGTAACAAAAATAAGAGAAAAAATAATTAAAATATATAAGATTTTATTAACGTGGTTAATTATTTTAAATATAAATTTCAAAGACAATATATATCAAAATATAATATTTTTAGAAAATTTAAAAAAATTAAGATTCAAAAATTGTCATTGACAAATTTTAGTAAAAATGCAAAAATTTAAAGATGCAACAACGAAAAATTATAAAGTATTTAAATTTATTAATGACAATTTTTTAAAAATAATAAAAAGTCAAAATAGTTCATGGTAATTTTTGAAAAAAATAATTGAAGAGTCTGACAATATTTAAAAAATTATATTTTTTCATTATTCTTCCCCAAAACACCATATTTTGATCATTTTTCTTCTTTCCATATAAAAAAAACCGTATATTAATCTATATACAGGATAGAAAATGCAATCAGAAGTCAAGGAGCCATTCAGTCAAATTTGTGCCACTTAATTCCATACTGATGTATAGCATTATCTGACGAAGATCAACATGAACAACTCAATTCTCAGCCTCCTGAAGTTTCATGTTCTCTTAAAATATTACATATTCACTGCAACTGTGTATTCCTCTCCACAAGAACATTTTACCACATGACGGATCTCCTGTAAAATCAGTGGTATATCTAGAAATGGAAAGGAAAAACTTTGACGGAAATTAAAACATAGGTTTGATTTTATATAAAATAATGATAGTTTTAAATGAATATTGTCACTCGATTATTCCTATTTGATTACCTGCTATTTTTTTATTGATAATTATTTCAGTGCCTTGTAAGATTTTCAAGTGGATTAAAGTTATTTTACCTTGAGTTTCTCTACTTGTTTCTCTAGAGACTGCAAGTATTCAGTTTCTCCAGCTTTGTCTGACAAAAGGGCGTTATATTCCTCTTCAAGAGCAGATATATCTGCAGCTTTTAGGTCCGGCTAGCGTAGCTCGCTCATTATGAACAAAAAATTAAATAAGATAATTTAAGAAATCATTGATTAAAAGCCACAAATTTAATGCCCGTCCCAATAAGAGGAGGAAAAAAAATAGCTAACCATCAAAGATCTAATGTAAATCAAAATAATAGGGTGCAACAAACTTATATATGGAAATGTCTTCCACCCGATCATCTCAATAAAAGAACATTATGATAACCACACATTTCCCAATAATTCCTGCAGAATAACAACCAACCTTAAACTCATTTTCTCTGCACTTCACATCCTCAATAGCCAGTTTTATCTAGGATGAAAAAGATTGTTAGTAAGAAGCAAAGAAATTATACAGACAATATAACCATATTAGCACAATATAAATAATAAATTCCCATTCTGACTTTCTTAAAAGCATTAAGGGGTTGGAAAAAAATCATTGTATAAGGCTGAAAAAGTCACACATTTGCCGACAGTTACAAATAAGACTTCCCACCCCATGATTATGCTTCAGAGCCATTTTTTGCATCCCTCTGTTTGCAAAAGATTGATTTTCAAAACCATCAGCAGCCATTTTAACAAACTTATCAGGGAAAAATGTTTGCATCTAATTAACTTTGTGAAAGCTTGAAAATTGGCAATTTTCAAGAATTATATTTTGCCGACCTTTAAAAGTATTAACACCAATTAATTTTGAGTAAGGCTGGAGAAAACGAAAGACTCAATCGAAGAATTTGCACTGTTTGTCACCCTCAATATTTTAATTAAAGAGCATGAGGGTAAATGTGTCTGCATCAATTCCATTTGTATAAGTAAAGCCAATTTTCCGAAAATTCAGCAGACCAAAATTGGATGATCCACATATTCTGTTTTTTTTTTTTTTTTTTTTAAAATGCTAGGGTTCAACCTTGATCACAGTAAATAGGATCTGCCAGGTACATATTCCATCACGTATCATAGAAAATATGGTTGAAAGTTGAAGAACAAAAATGGAAAAGAAAAGAGATAGAAGGAAGGCTATTTTGGAAGAAACATATTTTCAAAAATTAGGAGGGACCAGGAGAACTTAAATCAGATAGAAATGATTTGTGTAATTTAAAACACTATATTTTAGTTTCCAGAATCAATGAAATGTTTCGCCATATGTTATAAAAATATTACACAGCAAAAATAACTATATAATCAACCACAAACTGGAGTAGTTAATACTTTCACCACTTAAAAAGGTTGCAAATAAGTGACCTTGTTGCTCTCCGTAAGAACCTTGGCTTTCAAATTAAGAATCTCATCAAGCCTTGCTTTAGCAGAATCCAATTCAGCGATTAAGTTCTTCCTTACATCACCCCCCTGTCAACCGAAGATAAATTACCAGCTTCCAACTCCATGTAGTTTACAATGATGAAAGAAGTAATCTACCAGGTTATCCATGATAGGGTTACCATCAGCATCAGCCTTCCCTGCAAGTTAAGATTATAAAAAGAAAGCTAGGATATCAAATTTAGTTTTAAAAAATGGCTTTTATTAAACACCTCTAAGTTCAATACCTAAAAGGCGAAAAAAGATGGACTTCCGATTTAGTGTGATGGGAATTGATAATTACCATTAGGAATTAATAATTACTGTTAGGAGCAGTCATGTATTATTAAATATAAGTGTAATATTAACTGTCATGTTGGCTGATCTGTAGGAGCAGTTATGTATTTTAAGAGCTGCTACTTTAGGTGTGGTGTGATGATAGACAGTTATTAGGTTCAGTTCTGTAATTTTAGCAGCAGTTATTGTATGTATGGTCATATCATAGACAGATATTCGGTTTTGTAGGAGCAGCTATGTAATTTTCATATATGATATGCACTGTAGGAAAATATAGTTTAGGTATGTATTTGGAAGTTCTTTGGACACAGTTATTGTCTGTAGGAGTTATTAATACTCTGAGACAGCTGCCGTAATTATCTGTTCAATTAGTGTTTAATCCCAAATTCTAGCAGTGTTCTACCATTAGCCTTGACAGAAACCACAAGGTATCCCACTCTTTACTAATGGTTACAGTTTAACAATATAGGTATTCGTGGGCAGGTTTGAGTTTAAACTACCGTACCAAATTCCACTGATTCTCAATTTGAGAAATTAAACCAAAGCCACTTTATGTTACGGAAATGTATTGATCATTCGTTGCTATTAAACCAAAACCAGTCCAGTAAGGCAACAGACAGTTTTAACTCTAATGCATCTTAAACTACATGAAAAATGTATTGATCATTCATTGCTATTAAATTCACATGACAAAACTTCAACGTAGTTCAGTTAAACTTGGAAAGAAACGAGTACTATTATATTTTTTTCTAGGTTTATTTTATAAACAGAAATTAGTCATTAATTAGCCCATAAGCTTATAATCAAATGTAATCCATCTATATACACTCAGCTTTCCGGTGTGTAACTGAGAAACACAGTTTTCATCATCCTATGCTTCTCTTTCAACAAGCATGTCAAAATTTCTAGCATATATGGTCAGAAGAGTACAATATCTGAAGTGACCACTATCATGCATAGCATTGCCATTATTGCTCGATTACTAATTCCCACTAAATGGCAAATAAAAAAGGAGAAATTAAAAGAGGAATAAATAGTAAAATTAGTACATGAAAGATAGACAGCACAGGTCATATTAGACCATGAATAATGGAAACTACATCAATGGAGTATGCATTTACAATCATGTTAGTCTTTAATTGTCTTTTGTCACTCAAAGTTAAAGATTCTAGGTGTAATTTCTATCCTTCAGTGATATGTCCATAGGATTGCGAGGGGTGCATGTTGGGTTTGTAAACCAGGTTCAAGCCGATGGCCAATGCCCAATGGCTTAAATAGGGAAGGACCTGCGTCTGATGCAGGGTGTTATATGTTTAGTGTTGCGCCTCGGAGCCGGCACGAGTTTGAATCCTGGGTTTGACATGCTTTCAAATATCTTAGAGTCGTGAGGAAACCTTCTCTAAGAGGGACATAGGGTTGTGAGGGGTGCATGTTGGGTTCGTGGATCGGGTTCAACCCTGTGGCCGATGGCCAATAAGCACCAATGTTATCGGCGGATCGTGGCGGAAAGCAAAAAAATCTGTCATAAAATTATGGCGGATGCCATGGAAGAGGTGATAATATATATATATATATATATATATATATATATATATATTGTAAAATGTGATATAAAAACTAGAAAACTAACTAATATAAAAGAAGGAAGGTTTTGGGAAAAAAAAAAAAAATGGTCCTAAAGTAGTGAAAAGAAGGCTGGAGTTTATGACAGAAAAGTAGAGAATTGAAAATAAATATGGAAAAGGAAACTTGGAAGTGAAAACAGAAAAATACAATAAGAAAAAAACAGGGGAGTAAAACAGAATGGGAGAGAAAAAAATAAAATTGAAAAAAAAAATAATAAAAAAAGAAAAAACTAAAAAAGAGGGACAGAGTCAGAGAAGTAAAATGGAAAATGGATGTCAAAAAATAAGGCCTTTCACTCACAGTTGTCGGAAAACAGCCAGAAAGGATGTCTTTTCCGGCAAAAATGGTGAAGGAGATGAAGGCCAAGTGAAGGGAAGGAAAAAATTTTAAGTGGGAAAAAGTTCATTTTGCCCTTAAAAAAACCCTAAACGATACTACAACAAGGGGAAGATCGGATTTTCGCTCCCTTTCTCCATTACACTTCAAAAGTGCATACCCAGACCAAGACACTGTCTGCAATTAGGGCTTAACCTCTGTGACTGAAGGAACACTTAACCACTGCAAGCATCACGTGGCCGACCGTCGCTCCACAGCGACACAATAGTGACGAAGAAAAGATGTGATTACGTGATTTAGGGTTTGGGCTCACGGGTTTTCTCTTTGGACCGGGTCGGGTCCGTGGCCCAACTCAATTTTTCCTTTCAAAAACGCCATTTTCGCCATGGTCGGTGTTACCACCGTTACCGTCAGGCGCCTAACGGCCGCCACTTAAAACTGCCATTTTTCGCCATGGTCGTGGCGTCTTGGTTGGAAAACGCCACCCTTACCCACCATGGCGCCGCCATAACGGTTTATTAAAGTACGGCTGCCACTGAAAACTGCCATTTTTCGCCATGGTCGTGGCGTCTTGGTTGGAAAACGCCACTGTTACCGCCATGGCGCCGCCATAACCGTTTTTTAAAGCACGGCCGCCACTGAAAACTGCCATTTTTCGCCATGGTCGTGGCGTCTTGGTTGGAAAACGCCACTGTTACCCGCCATGGCACTGCCATAACCGTTTTTTAAAGCACTCTTGGTCATATCATTTAGGGCCTACAATTTAGAGACCTAAAAATTATACTCTCGGTTGCCTTCTCATTACATGAGGCATGAATATAACACAGCATGTTGTTCTATAATGACCTGTCAGTTCAATCCAACAGATTTTTTCTTACACACAGAACCCCAATGATCTATATAACTGAAAGGTCAAAAGAATGCTGATAGTAAATGACACAGCAATTTATTGTCATATAATGTAATAAAAACAAAAACTAGGAGACTCTCACATTAGCTGTCATTGGCTACATGGATCAATCGATATCAATGAGCTCTATCAAAAACCAAAGTTTTAGTGAAATAATTTAGTGCAAGTTTTATTTTAATGGCTTCTGCTAATATCTTCTTGGGTCTTCTTTAACTCTATTAATCAGACTATGCTCTATTTGGTGAACTTATATGGCTATATCCTTTATTGGTTTACAGTGCTCCTTTTTTAGTTGAATGAGAGATAAGCATGGTTATGGAAAGTTAGTAGTGGAGCCAAACTAAATATTCATCCTTTCTAGCAACATATTTCACACACAAACCCCATTTTGAACCTGAAATATGATTCTTAAGCTTTGCCAACAGGGTAAAGAAGAACTATTCCTTTGCTTCCATCTACACAGCTAAATTTAAAAACAAAGAAAGTACTGAGCATATTCAAATAACTTATCACAAGCCATTTTGCATAAGACTCTGTAAAACATCAAAAAAAAGTTTAGAACCGTGCCTTCAGCTTTACTTCTTCGCCCAGCAAGATTTTCCATGACCTGCATAAATTCAAGATAAAAGTGACTAGCAGAGACTAGTCAGAAAAGCACATAAATTTAACAATTAAATAAATAAGACCTGAAAATAGGAGGATGAGTTCTTTTCCTATATTCTTCCTTTTGGTCAATAATTTATCGTACAATATTATTTCCTAAGAAATAAGCAAGCTCAAGAAGTTTGCTCAAATATATACCAAGGACTCCTAGTTTCAGAGGAACCATAGGAATTATGATATATAAGGATATTCTAGATAAAAAAGCATACCAACTCATGCTCTTTCAGCTCTCTGCTAATCTTCTTAGTACTGAACCATTCCTGCCAAAGATTTATATTCAGTACAAAGTTGCAACTTGCAGCAAACCGGCAGAAGAAGAATGAAACGCAGAGCTGGTCCCAAGAAAAACTGGCTTATATATCATGACAAAGCTTAATCATTACTGAAGAAAAATTATCTTGAATATACTTAAGGACATTATGTATCATTAAATATTAACTATTAAATATATAATATTTTCTATAATTAAAATATTATGTATTAAAGTTACTTGATGAAAATTATTTCTTACTTGAGAAAAATTTACTTCCAAAATAATTAAATGACAATATGGTTATTAACTCTTAATAAAATTTCTTTTATACAAATATACTTTTGACAATAATTTGTTGAATTGATCGTCAAAGTTTCAAGATATTAATATAGAATGATTCATAGATACTCTAATTGTATGTTAATTTTAGAAGAGCTTTATCTAAAAATTAAAAGGAAAATTTATCAAAATATAACCAATATCGAATCAAAATTATTAATAAAATATAAAGTAAAAATTTTAAAAACTTATGTATATAAATAAAACATTATCATAACATAAAAGAAGTTAAATGATTTTTTTATTTTTTTTAGTCTATTTACACAATTTACATGCAAATATTTAATTATGTATATAAATATAAATAAAAATACTCGCAAGTATTACAGCAAAAAAATAACATAAAAGTCAATTCATATAATTATTAGATATCATGTGGCACTAAAATTTCACACCCCAAGATACCCCCGCAGTATTTTCCTTACAAATGTATTAAGACGAGTTTTAAGTTTACAACGTATTTATAAACAAGTGTTTCAACCCTTTTCAGCACCCCACAACCCCCAACACCCAATATTTATAGACTAACTGATTGGCTTCTTGTTCAGTGGTGTAATGTTGACTCACACAAACAACGAAACCATAGTTCCACCATGCAGAACATGTATGTATTTCAAATGGAATTATTCCCAAAACATAATCACCCCTTTGATGTCAACATTTGCTGCCAGTGTTCATGGATATTAGTTCATGCATTGAGCCTGCCGCTCCAAAGGTCACACACCAATAACAAAGAAGAAGAATAAAAGTGAACCTGTTGCTTCAGTAATATGGCACTCATGTCCTCTGCAACCTTGCTATAGTAGGCTCTGAAAGGGTAAAGCAATTTAGATGGAAATGCATCAAATGCATAAGACCATTCCCTCAGTATCTTCAGTTACCTCTTCTCTGAAAGTTTGGCAGATAACCCAACTCTCTCATGCTGAATAAGCTCCAAAGTCTGTTTGGTAGAGAGTCAAGAACAACACCAGAAATAAGCTATGAATTCCTCATAACCAATCCTAAAGCCCCACATAAATTTATCAATTTTTCACATCACATCATCCCCGTATTAACTCTAGACTTAAGTCGGAAAGCACAAATGTTAATCTAAAATTTGATTTTATTGTTGCAACCTTGCAAGTATACATTTCTGACTACTACATTTGAGTTTTCTATACCAAAACGCATATAGACTTGCCATATCTAAAATAATGCTAAAATTAAAAGTCTTGTCTGCTTTAGATTGTGTTTCTATATTTTTTTTTATTATTAATTTTATGTATTATATTATAGCCCTGTCATGTTCTGTAATTTTTGAAATTTGTCGTATCCATGTTTCCTAAGTAGCTTAGTTACCAAAATCAGTTCTGGCATTCACATTTGAGATAGAAGCAATTGAATGATGAAGCGGGAGAAGGAACTGACCTGGGTGAGGTTGAATGTATCAGACTCCAAAGAGGCAATCCTTTTCTGTTTTTCCAATATCTTTGAGCATATCTCACCCTTTGCCCCTTTCATCTTTTCAGTGTCTTCCTTGAGTTGCGTTATTCCAGATTTTGCTACATAGTTTAGCAATTTTACTTAGAAATAAAATAACGTTGATAGAGAGAAATGGAATAAAAGGACATGAAAAGGACCTGAATCAATGTCTTTTTCCAAAGTGCGTATGTTGGTCAATTGCATTTCCTCTTCAACCGAAATCTTTGCCGCTTGATCTTCCACATCTGAATTAAATTCCTATTTCCATATTCAGATCGGATAAATAATAAATAAATATTCACAGATACCGTTCATTTGAGAGCGCAGGGTCTTCATGTACTCCAAGTATTCCTCCATCTCCTCCACGATCAGAGAAACAAAGATCGAGTGAAAAGTGAAAACCATTTATATAAGCATTTTTGGAGGGAAAGGCTTTCTATTTATCCTACGTGACCTACCCTTTTCCATTCTGTTGTTCCGCGTTTTATTAATTTTTATTTTTTTTCCAGATATGCTTACATAATTTAAAATTAGCCCTCAAGTTAAAAATGATAACAAGAAAAATTATTTTTCACTGTAACAAATAAAATTCTAAACTCGCATTTTTTCAATTACTAGAGTATATATTTTTATTTTGATCAGAGATTTTTTTTTTTTATTAAATTAAAAAAGAAGATGGGATGAGACGGAAATCATAGTTCCTGCTATTCGTATGCTATTTTGTGTCATATTTTCAGACTACAAAGCAATTTCCATAAATTTACAATGTTTACCACCCATTGAAATTCAATAACCTTATTACCCTGTGGTTATAGACATCACTAGAAGATTTTCCTTTCAACAAAACAGCTATTACAATTACCAAATGATTAAAATGTGCAAAATAAGATAATAAGGATAGAATACATTATTCAGATTACATAAATTTTCAATTTTCCAATTCACATTTTATCGATTCTATGCCTTTATAGTAAAATTTTAATTGTGGCAATTATGTTAAAAAATATGTCATGGATATTCAAAAGAAAACTATAAGTAACTACAAGTTAAATAAATAATGATTGACTAATTGGTTTAAAAAATGCATAAACAAAACATAGGCTTAATAATAATTTTGTTCGTCCTAACTTGTCACTTATTTGATTTTGGTCTCCTAACTTCTCATTACACAATTCCAGTCCATACCTAGCTTCTAATTATGCAATTTTGGTCTCCTTTAAAAAAAATTATATCCATTTACTTGTCATGTAAATTTTATCATAGTATCCTTTAATAATATCCACCGGTATGAAATCATAATTTTGTTATTTGATTTTCAGCATCAAATACTCTAATTTTCTGTATTATTCTCAGTCTCCTCAAGAAATCCCCCTCAAATTTTCCTTGTCATAGACACATAAACATGTTCGTATAATTAATAGCAAAACAGACATGGACACTAAAACATAATTAATAACCAGTTCATTATTCTGTTCAAATTTGAATAAAAAATTAATTAAGTACCAAACTGAAAAAATTGTGGGATCTAAAATCACACAATTGAAAATTAAGACACCTTTAACAAATAACAAACTACAAAGACCAAAATTATAATTAAACTTAAAACATAAATAAACAATACTTAAACTTAATATTACATATTTCAACTTTCCTTCCTGAAATAATAACATTAATTACTGGAATCCTTAAGCTTAAAAAACACTTACTTTTAGCCTTTAATTTTACAAAACATTCGCTTTAATCCTTAATGTCAGTGAAAAAGTTAATTAAAAAAAAATGAATGATGTTTTACAAAAATAAAAAACTAAAGTTTTGTTAAGTCAAAAAATAAAATTGTTAACGCTTACAATCTCAAAAAACTAAAATAAAAGTTTGTCTTTAGATTACATACTGACTAGTAATAAAAGTGTGTAACACTGCCTCAAGTGAGTGTTTGTTGATCTGAATGGCGGCCTCCCTCATTCAGAGTTTCACAATAAACTTGTAAACGGCAAATCCTCGAATTGCAAAGAACATTTGTGATTCGTTCATTTCTATTCTTAGTGTGCTCTTTCTACATTCACCTCAACCCAATAATACCAAGTGTGCGAGAAGTACAAAAATTCATACAGCTCCACACATCTAAGTAAAGCACTCCAAGTAGCGTTACAAAATGCCACTTTATGTGCTCATTTCTTGGTTTTATCAAGAACTTCAATATATCTCTTTGGAACTCCATATTGTTCTATCAAATGCCTAGCCAGGTCATCAATAACTCCTCCCTGAACCAAAACTTCATGCCCTTTCTTACCTGCAAACAAATACCTTCGGATTTCAGATAGACAATATAATAAATGTATATCATTTTATTAGATGTATCTAGAAAGTCAAACTTCACAGATCAGAATCATGAATGTTGGAAAGGTGTAGTCTCTGACCATCATCCCCAAGCCATTTGAAACGAAAATTTTGATGAAATAAACAAGGAAATTTATACACTTGCTGTTAGTTCACCTCATCCCTATCTTGTTATGTTAACACAGAAGCACAGAAGGATGCAAAAGATGTGTAAACAGAAGAACATAAAACATTTACCTGCATGCTGCATGCATCCCTAATCTCTGGTTTTAGTTTGTCACAGTCAGAAGGAAATCAATACATATTTATTAAAATGCCTGTGTAGTTGCCCCATATACTCAACAGAGATCATAGTAGTCACTCTCACACTTACTGCACAAGCTTCAGAAAAGTGCCATATTAAATCAGTTTAGTTTCCCATACAGCCCCTTACTCTCTTTTTTTAAGTACTGGTACAAAGAAATCAAATACTAAGCAACTACAATTATCTAGTTATCACCTCTCCAATAGTTCTACAATTATCAACTTGGGCTTGCAACTTGAAAATAAATCCCGTGAAGCTTTGTCACTTTTTTTCTTTACAGGAATTCATACAATACAATAATATTAATCACATATATAGATATATCATCCTGGAATTGCAAAGAAATATACAGAGAGTCCTACTTCAATGATTACAGAATCATACCACCAGGTTTTAGGAATAATGCACTTCACAATAGTATAATTCCCCAATCTATTATATTCTTCATATTGGTCAAAATTTAATATGTTTCTATAAACATAGTAGACTAAACAACAGAGATTTGATATCTTTTCTCGTTTCCACCTTTGAGACAAAAATGTAGTTTTACAATCTCAGGTTTCAGCATTGATCAACTAAGGGGAGATAAACCAAAATCATTATTTCTATACAAATGCAGATCTATATTATTCAGACACCATAATATGAGATTGAATTCAAACAAAGAAATTGAATTTAAACAAAGAAAAGTAACATCTAAAAGGCATTAAGAAGAATAAAGATGCTCAGTTGCTCGAAGATCCCATATCCTTGAGTATACGAAGTACAAACCAACATAAAACTTATAAGTTTAATGCAACCAAGAAATACCTGGTAGTTCTGCAACAGAGGTACTGCAAGCAAACTTCTTCTGCAGTTCTGATGCTAATGCTTCAGCATCTATAAGAAAGGTTTCCATACCAGAGAGTTTGGTTACCTTCTTGTTGCCTTGCCGACGTTCTGTGACAAGCTGAATTGTTTTAAGTGCCCCTTTACGAACCACTGTTTCATTCCCTCTTGCCACTACATGGTGAGGTTGCATACGGTTCACAAATGTTGGTGCCAAATCCTTCTTGTGAATTTCTGTAGGGTAAGTTATTCCTTTTTTAATAGCCCCCTTGAACAGTGCATCACATAATATAGCATCAAGAACCACAATAGATTTATCTGTTGGTTTTACAAGATTTTCTTTTTCAATGTACTTGAAGACAACATCAGAAGCTTCAGCAGCACTAAAAAGTTTCCCTGTGTCAGCTCCAACAGATGAAAATATGGAATTGACATGTACACTCGGTTTGTAGATTTCAGCCACTTCAAGAGTTTTGGATGAACGAATTTCATTGGCAGACTGAACACTGGGCTGATCACTTTTCTCCACTGGCCTTTTTTCAGGCTTAAAGGATGAATAATCAGCATGGTTTCGATTTACTGAAAGTAGCATGACTTCTTTTTTGTATTTATCTTCTTTCACTGATATCTGTAGAAAATGAATCTACATGAGGAAAGAATCCAGGAACAGCAGTGCAGAAACTTCATTGCAGAAAGCTTTACAAGCAGAAGAGAAATGATCAAAACGAGCACATATAGTAAAATTGAAGATGTCCATAAATTTAGCTCAAAATGTATTAACACCAAATGGACATATAACTATAATGTGTTGTTGAGAATAATTGTAAATAAATTGAGAATATTTTAGTTAATATTTAGATAGTGTTAATTGTGGTAATTATGTAACAAAATATTTTGTAACTATTACCTAATCATTATTAAGGCAGTCCTCCGCTATGTCTCATACACACACGGATTCTCTCTGTCTCTTGTTTTTCTTCTTTTTCTACACAGTATCAAGAGTCTGATGAAATATAATCCTAATCTGTGACTACCTAGTAGACCCACTGTCCATCCGGTGCAATTTTTTCTGAAAACTGTGCTCATTATTTCAGTTTTCAGTCCTTTTCCTTTTTCCAGTGTATGTTGCCACTGTTGTGGCAAACGTTGCTATTGTTCACCGTCAAACTGAACTTTTTCCAGCGACTAACCTAGGCATTAGAATCACCTCTTCAAGGTTGGCCATTCTCCAGAATTTCATGTCAAATGAAGCTCCCATCACCCCATGCGCTCACACACACACACTGTTTTTGCGTTCTCTCTCTCCGCCATGACCTCCACCATGCATGGCAACATGTGAGCGCTTCTTTCCAGCCACCAGTGGTGCAACCAGGCTCATCTCCTCTCACTTGTCCTCAATCTGCAATTGGTTGCTTCTTCCAGGCCTTGTGCAATGCAATTTGTTACGGTTTGGCACTGTTTCACTGCTGTTTCTCATTCCTATTGTTGACCCATGGCATCCTCTGATCCTCTAAAGGTTGAGGCCCCTGTTTTCACAAACCACGTCACTGCCCACTCTTCTAAGCACTTAGATGGTAAGAATTATACCTCTTGAGCCTCTAACATTCGTCTTTGGCTTGTATTACAGGATTATGATACCCATCTTACCACAAGGCAGATGATATAAGTGAGGACAAATGTCCTCAGTGAAAAAAGATTAATGCTCAATTGTGTTGCTGATGGGCCTAGACAAAAAGGGCCTCCACTGAAGACATATCAGCAGAGGAAGGGCAAAATAGGGAAGGATGGAAAACGGTTAAAGAGGGCCTTAACAAACTGCATATGTGTGAAGAAAAGGGAGAGGAGAAAGATACGGGAATCTAGCTCGAGAATGGATATTTGAGGGGGCTGAAAGGAGGAGAGGAGGTAGGGGGTTTTTGGGTGGATTCAAGGTGGCTGCTGTCACAGGATAGAATCGTCATTTGTGTTGATTGCTTGCTATAGTTTTCTTTTCGCTACTTGTACTCACAGATCATCCCTGTCATTTGCTTAATTTTAATAATAAGAGGAAGTTCTATCAGTTGCATTATAAAATCCACTCTTCATCCAACGTCGAGGCCAGTCTTTTGCACTCATGAGACTTGTGAAGCTGTTTGGACTCAAGCAAAGCAAAGCTTCTGGAGACCAATAATACCCAACATCTCTTTAAGGTTTGCCATGATCTCATAACTATTATTAGTTCTCGTAGGATTGATGACTCTATAGCCAATTATTTGGGAAAGATATCCGGTCTTGTCTTTGACTTCAATGAGCTCTTACCCCCCAGCTGATACACCTGCAAAAGAAATTGGGTAGTACCAGCAATTTTTCATGTTATTGACCTTATATGGTTTGCCTAAAGATTATTCTCACATTTGAGATCAGATCTTGGGTACCACCATAGTCCCCACCATGGACACTGCTTGGTCTACTATTCTTCATGTCCTGACTAAAACACCTTCTTAGGTAGTCATTCCTACCCTTGTTGACTTATTTGCCTTGGTCTCTCAAGGAGGTGATCATGCTCAGTATTGCAAAACAGGAAGGTCTCGTCCTAAATGTGACCACTGTCATAAGATCAGGAACACCATTCACAAGTGCTATGCTCTACATGGGCGTCTTCCTCACACTGCCAACATTGTTCAAAATACTTTACAGATCTCAGTTGATCCTCTCTTGCCAACACTTACTCCACAAGCACCACCTCCTAGTTGCAATGATTTTCTAAGGTGGTATGAGGACCGTCAGGCTTCAAATTCCTCTGCTTCGGTTGCACCCATTAGTAATTTCTTTGCTGACATATCTCACTACTCTTCTTTTGGTCTTTGAGTAAATGATTCACGGGCCACCAATCATATAGCTGGTAATCAATCCTTTTTCTCTACCCTTTCTACTTCTGAATATTTACCTTCTGTAACTATAGCTAATGGTTCTCAACCCAATCTAAAGACATTGGTACTGTTCGCCCTTCCTCTTTCTTTTTTTTTTACAATGTCCTTTATGTTTGTGGATCTCTTTTTAATTTCCTTTTCATTAGTTGTTTCACCCCAATTTTTTGATTTAACTGTTACATTTACTAAGGATTATGTTTTTCTACAAGATCAGAGTTCAGGACAGATGATTGGAATCAAATGTGAGTCACTCACATGGTCTCTACCAACTACGTAGGCCATCTCATGTTGGTTCGAGTCAATGACATTGTTATTATAGGCAATGATCATCATGGAAACAAATAAGTGAAGCAACATCCTTGGCAGCATTTCCAAATTAAGGACCTTGGTAGACTCAAATATTTCTTGGGAATGAAGATGGCACAATTCAAACATAGCATTGTTATTTCTTAGAAGAAATATACAATGTATATTTTGGAGGATGCAAAGCCAGTTAATACTCTCATGGATCAGGACCTTGGTAGACTCAAATACTATGAAATGTTCTAAATTTTAATTTTATAATTCATATAACACAATTAAAAACTTTCCTGTCAATATCAACAAGCTTCTATTTACTATTCTACTTATCCAAGTAAAAAGAAAGATGACAAACCAAGCCAGCGGAGGATTTTGCTTGTAACCACTTCGATAACTTCTTGTAGGAGGATTTCTTGATGTCTAAAGTAATTCCTGAAGGCCTACATGGCAAGACATGGTTTGACCTGTAACACCCAAATTCAAACATTTATTAGATTACTAGAGGCAAACTTAACTTATCAATTCAGCACTACCCAACAGCGTGTTCAATACAAACTAAAATGAATTTAAATCTAGAAAAAATTGCTACGGCTATGCACATGAGTAACCACTGAATGTATTCTGCAGCAACTATTTCCTGATTTAAATCCTCAAATGACATAACTTCCCTGAATAAAGCCTCAGTTATTATGTTAACAGGAAATAGTTTTCTTCCATGTGGCAACACTCTCAGCACTCACAATTAAAATCTTTTCAAACAAAATTCAATGTTTAATTCTTTAGCACTAATAGTCAGAGCTAAATTTTCAAATTTATCAAAAATGCCTGCACAGTAAAAACATTGAGAGCTTGAAAAATCACTACCAAAGTTCTCATGATCTCATCCAATTAGAAGCATACTCCACAATAGCAGTCACATTTTCATTACCGGAGATATTTAGTGAATTATCTTTTAAATTTTCTAAACTATGCCTTATTGTCAACTGCAATTTCTGGTGTGCTAAAATTTTTTAGGCCAATCTGTTTCAAATGATTTGAATTGGTCAAGCAAGAGCCCAGAGAGAAGAGAATCCTACCATAGAGTGCTTCCAGGCATGGGAAGGTCTTTGTCCTTCACTGTTGTATGCAAAGCTTGTAGAAGGCACTTATCTAACAGGGAATCTATGTCTGCAGTTGATAGGGCATGTTGGTCATTAGAATCATTAGCAGAGGCAGAATTATCTGATAACTTCAAATCAGCCATGCGTTCAGTTGCTCCAGTTGCAGCATCATTTTCATCATCATTTGGTGCTGTCAACACATGAGTGGAGTCAGGTTGTAACTCATTTACATCCATAGATTCCTCTGCTCCAAGACTATTTGGGTTGTTCTGCTGATCAATTGATGTCTGACAAGCAACCTCGGTCAGATCAGAATCACGAGAAGGCAGCAACAATAGTGAAGGATCCTCAAACACAGCATCTTCCAAAAAACCTGCATTAGGCACGTAATGGCCCTCAGCTGATTCCCTGCAAATCCAAGCAAGCAGAGTGAATAATGAAAGATTCGATTAGCTGTTTATAACTAATGAAAGGGATGATCGAGCTCTAGATGGACTTGCCAAAGCAAATCACGATAGTAATGAGTTATTCTTAGGGCCTTTCCACGTAATCCAGCCTTCAATGCTTCGGTGCTGCTCATTGTGGTACTCCCAACGGCAATGGGAGCGGGGTTTCCGGGCACTTTAACGGCCCAAGTTTCCCCAGCTGCAAAGGAAGGAAGACCTTCGGGAGGGACAGTAATCCCTGGGAACATCAAGTCTGCTCCTCCAATTACAAACCGAGAAACCTCACCTCCCTTCAGCACCATAGCAGGCAGTAGCTCAGGGACCCTCCACAGTGCATAAACTGCATGCATCCAATGATTCATTCATTTTCAGTAACCTCATTCATTTGGAATTCATAATAACAATTTATTCACATATACATATAATTCATTAATTATGGCCTGATCAAATCAAATAATAATAAAGAGAAATGAAGGTAGGGTAGCACCTGTTGGGAAAATTTCAGAGCCGCGGCCATCAATATCGAAAAACATTGGAAAGTCTCCCTCCACAGCGTATACATGGACTCGGTTTTGTAACTTGGCCACTGTTATCTCTGCCTGTTTAATTTAATTTAATTGTTTATAAGAACAATACTTAATTGTGTGTGTATGATATAATTATGGATAGAAAGATGGATGAACAACTTAGCTAATTAACTAACCAACCTTGGGAGGAAGCAAAGCGTCTAAGTCGGAATCGGAAGCTCTTTGGAATTTGTCTTTAATGCTTCGCTTCAGCTTCTTTCTGTCCGCACCAGACAACCTCTGATGAGACTTAGCCTCCACCGCCTTCTTGAACATCCTCGTTTCCTCACTCGCTGTCGCTTCACTCTTCTCCGCCGCGCGTTAATTCTCTCCCTGTAAATCAATTCAGATGCCACGCGAACTTCTCCCTATTCCTTCCCTCTCCATTTATACACAATCTTTCCAGCAACTTCTATTAGTGTTAAATAAAATCAAAATAATACCTCATATTATAAGTATTTGGTAATTGGTAATTTAGGCCTTCAACTTATATTCAAAAAATACCCTCCAAAATTATCAAATTATAAGTACTCATCAACTTTATCTCTAAAATTATAAAAAATATGTATATAATTTGTAAAATCAGATATTTTAGTCTTTTTAATTAATTAATCTTTCTTAAATTCATTTCACACATATCTAATGTGACAGATTAAGTACTAATGTGATATTTATGTGGCATAAAACTTGTCAATGGATAATCATAATATTTTAGCATAAAACTCATTAAAAATTTACAAATTCACCTTAAATATTATATAAAATAGTGAAGGAGCAAATGAGTAAGAAAGAAATATTCTCACTTGCAAATAAATCTTTAAATAAACCTGAAGTAAAAAAGAAAACCTCAAGTTAGTGAGGCATCATATTAACACTTAATCTATCACATCTAACATGTTAGACAAATTTGGGGAGATTATCAAGAGAGGCAAAGATTTTTTTATATATAATTTTAAGAAAATTTATTTCTCATAATTTCAGGAATTAAATTGATTCCTATAATTTCAAAAATTAAATTGATATCTATAATTTTAGGAACTAAATTGATAAGTACCTATTATTTTAAAGGACTAAATATAATCAACTTTTTATAATTTCATGCAGTATTTTTTGCCATTATTTTAAGCTAAATTAATAGATTTTATATTTGAGAGACTAAAATAACATATTACTCGAATAAAATATTTTAGAGAAAGATAAAAAAAAATAATGTGTAAAAATTATTACAAAAATATATTATGTAAATAATGTTATTTATATAAAATTACATGTTATTTTAATATTTTCAGATAATAATTTAGGTAAATTTAAATATTATAATTTTGATTTTTTTTCACATCTCAATTTACAAGTTTATTTGTACTTTTTTTCTATATTTTTCTTGTTCCATCACTTATCATATTTATTATATTTACAGTATGTTTGGTTAGAGCAAAATAAAAGAAAAGAGAATAAAAGATTTTTAAAAAATAACTTATATGGTTCGAAAACTTAAAATGGAGTGAAAGAAAATGAAGTTGCTAAAACTCATCCCTTCTTATTTATATACATCATCTTCATAACAACATTGTAAGAATCAATAGTTAAATTGATAAAAAAAATAATTATTATTATTAAAAGTATAATTTACTAAATTATTACCTAATATTGTTTGATCTTACCTAGTTTGTAATTAGTGGACTTTTTTTTAATTAATTTGTCATAAAAAAAATATTTCAACTCACATCCTTTCTACTACTATTTGTAAGGGTAAACTAATACATTATATATATTAATAATGCTGAATCAAACATTTTTTGTGTGTGAATGGGAAGTTAAAGAAACAAAAATGCAAAAAGGTAAAGCAAACAAAGTAATATTAACTCATTTGTTAGTAGGAATTAGACTTCAACTTACCAAGTAGTCCAAGCTATGCCAATCAAAAGCCATTTTTGCTTTCTGCTATCCAAAAACAATTAGAACCTCTTATTTTCAAATTTGAACGCAGTTCTTTTACATTAGGCTTAGATTTTGTGTTTCGAATTTCACGTTTCAACTTAATTTAACCCCTCCCCCCCCCCCCTCTTACCATTCCATTCATGACAAGAAGAATACTGCAATTTAGTTATGCTATCAAGATGGAGATAGCACCATGACTAAGAATTATGGCTCAACATCTTACCAAAATGGCTAAAGTTAGCTCTTTATTTATCATGAAACTTGTATATTTTTCTTTTATCTTTGTAATGAGACTAATATCGCCTCAATTAGATCACTATAACTCAATTTATGCCCTAAACATGGGGGAAAGGTGAGAGAATGGATTAAAATTCAAAAATTATATTTGCACAAAAGACCAATTAGGCTCAATATAACAAAATCAAATCACTGGTTTTATCTATCATGGAACATGTTTGAAGTTCCCAATTAGATTTTCACCGTAGGGATATATGTGTAAAAAAAAAATTAACTATCCAGATTAACAGTGCTTGTGAGAGTTTTAATAATTGCCAAAGAACCCTTGTGAAGTAGGGAGCTTGTCATGGCGAGACAAACTTTGGAAAGAGGGAGATATTTGCATTCAGCGGTGTGATGATAGAAGATTAGGAGTTGGCATTTTGATCCATAGGGTTGATGGCTTTTGGATTGTTGAAGTCGAAGAACCACTGCTCGATTTTGATTTGTATGAGATCTAATTGTGGCACTCTGAGGGAGGGGCGGTGTTCGTAAATTCGTAATGGGTTTGAAGAAGGCTTGGGTGAGTCCATTGTCCAACCTGAAGTGTGCTCTTATACATGTTCTTTTGCTATTGTAACAGACAAGTGAACAACTGTTTGAGACTAGGTGGTTTTTGTTGTATTGATTTTGCCCGAGGATATATTGTTATTAGTAATTTTTTTAGCGTACTTTCGTAACGACAACCTCTAATAAAGAGATCACCATGACACGGAACACAAGTTGATTAGTACCATAACATTCTTTCTTTGCTCAATCCGAAAAACGGGGCACAAAATAATGAGAATAACATTTGTGCCTTATTAAAGCTATCAGATGTCCAACAAAATAATATTGTAAACAATATCCAATTTCAATTTTATAATTCATGAGTATCAATAAAAAAAAAATCGTCTTTAAGGATTAGTTGCCCAACAAAAATTCAAGGAGTACACGGCAGAAATTTGAAATATTTCCCGTGCTACTATTCACGTCAAATCACTACAACTAATCTCAAGTTATTGTGATATTTGATATAGAAAAATTTAATAAAAGAATTAATTTTGAATTATAATAAATTTAATTCAATAATATATTAATATAGTTAAGATTAAATAAGATTGAATTAGATGTTGACATTGTCTTTCTTATTTTGTTACGAGGGAACATAATTTTTTTTTAAGGAAGTGATATTACGTGTTACCATAGAAAATAATAGTTTATTATTAATATATCTATAATTGTATGAGTATTGGTTAACATTAATGCAATATGTGTGGTAATAATACATGAGCACAATAGTTGACATTGATGCAAGATATATGATATGAGCATTTATGCAAGATATCTAGTGATAATTAATAGATATAATAACTGTTGATGTAAAATGTGTGATGTGCTATTCATGATAGAGCTCAATATCTCTTTTAAATCATAATTATTAATGTAAACAATGAAAACAAATACATTTATTTCAATCAAGGTGAATATTTTTGGAGTTAGAGTTACAAATTTATATTTTTATACTTTTAAATTACATTTAGTTAAGTATTCTTGTTTGGTTACTCTTCTCTCTTTCTCTTTTTCTCTCTCTTTCTCTCTCTCTATATATAGTATATATATATATTTTATTTCTTAGAATTTGGATTTGCTCCTTTATATATGTATTACTCTCCCATTTTATTAACTCAAATTATGATTCAAATTTTAACACGGTATCAAAGCTCCATTTTTAGGTCTCAATTGCATGAACTCAATTCTTTTTTGTTTTCATTCTAAACTTTTTTTTTTTTATTTTGTTCTTCTTCTCCTTTCTCTCTTAAATAATAGGTTCTTGAATCAATCATTCTTTAATAGTGAGTGTGATCAATGATCCTAACAATTGTTATATGCATCTGAATCATAAATCTTAGATTAATGTCTGATTTTCCATTACTTATAGGAGAAAACTATCATTGTTGGTCAAGAGTCATGATGATGACACTAAGACCAATAACAAAGTATTAATTTATGGATGTTACAATTCTTAAATTTGATACGTCTAATATGAATTATCCTGCTCGAAAAAGATGTAATACTCTAATTCAATCATAGGTTAACTATATTTTGTATTAATCAATTGCTCAAAGTGTATTGTGATCGAAAATCGCACATGAAGTTTGGAGTAACTTGAAAGAAATATGCTATCAAGGGGATATCTTTCCACTATGAGATCTTCAAGAAGAATTGTATTCTTTTAAGCATGGTGAATTGTATATCTTAAATTATTTTACTCTCTAAAAACATATAGCAAGAATTAGAGAATTTCAAACCAATCCCTTCTTATGTATGTGAAGTAAGTTGTTCTTATAAGTTGGTGTTAACTATATGATCATATAGACATAATGACTATATCATTAGATTTCTTAAGGGGTTAAATGATTAATATTCAATAGTGATGTCACAAATAATGCTCATGGATCATTTGCCAATGATAAATACTTGTTTATACAACAAGAAAAACAATTTGGTTCCATTCATTTTATATAGTTTACAACAACTATTACTCTGTTGCCCAAAATCTTAAATAGGCACATATTTATTCATATGCAAAGATTCAAACTCCATTTAAGTTATAAACGCATTTTTCTTTTACTTTGGTAACCCTTTCAAGGTTAGTATTTAAAATATCTCAAGCTTCTTTAAAGGTTGTTGCATTAGACATAGGGATGGACACAGGTCAGGCTGCCTAACAGGGCCTACGGCCTGATCCAACATTTTTAATAAACAAATAAAGTTTAAACTTTTTTTAAGGTCTGTTTAAATAAATAAGTCAGACCTGAACTGTTTATAAAGTCTATTAATTCTGATAGACTGATTGTATATATATATATACATATATATATATATATAATTTAAAAATAGAGCTGTCAAAATATATTTAAATAATAAAGTTATTTAATAATATATTTTTTAATTCTTAATTCTGTTATTATTAAATTAATATATTATGTTATAATTATTTTTATTTATAATAAATAGAAATTGCTTAAATATGAATTATATTTTATTTGAAAGTCAAAATTTATATAAAAAAATGATAAAAAAATAAAATAAAAAACTTATTATAATATATATATATATATATATATATATAATAAGACCATATAGCAAATAATATAAATAATATATATTTTTATAACTTGCACATATTTTAACTAAATTATTAGTTAATTTATTAATTTAT